GTATATGTACAGGGTGGGTCAAATTCGACGCTTTTAAATTGAAACACCCTTTTCTATAGGAGATAGACAAAAACTAATATCGGTGTCTGGAGCTCAATTTTTGTCAAAAACATGATTGTGAAAACCGCATATCGATATCTGTTACCGTTTCGGAGTTACGGGGTGTTTTTCAAAAATATGCATTTTTAACAAATCGCTGTAACTTTTTTGCTATGGGAAATTTTGTATTTTTATGAAAACATTTCCAAAGCACCTTTTTACGTAGAATTTAATGGTTTAAGTATAATTTTTCTAAAATTAATAAGTTAAGAATTATCAACAGAAAATTTGATTTTTATATGGGACACCCTGTATATTTTTAATTTATTGAAAAGAATTTAAAATTACCTTTCCAAAAATATAACACACTTGATATTTTGCTCGATTCCTCTTCGAGATATAGAGTATATAAAAATTCGCCCGCTTTAAATAAGTAGGCTTTGAACGGCACCGGCTGTAATGCAAAAAAATTCTAGCTGTAAGAATCAATTAAAACGAAAATAATATTTGCTGTGAGAGATGCAGAATTTTATAACAATTTAAAATATATTTAACCAATATCAACACATTTAAACTATATCTAATAACAATAAAAATAAATAGCAAACCAAGACATGAGATTTTGCTACAAGTGTTAGACATATCGACCGTCTTCTGTTATGGACAGACGGGGCAGTTTTTGAACATTTTTCGCGGAATTCATTAACTCAGTGGGGGTGAAAGATACCCTTTCATAACTGCTAAGTATTTCTAATTCTTGTCTAAATTATACGGAAGAATAAGGAACCTTTATTCTTCCTCAAATATATCCATAGGATTAGGTCCATGAGCACTAAGTCAGGCGGCCTCGACGGCCAACGGCTGGGATCTTGGTTAGCTATTCAATTATTCTTGAAATTGGCTGCAAAAATTTGCTGATAACTTCAGCGTTCAGAGGCGGTGCGTCGTCTTGCTGGAAAAATATGTTTTCCAGTTCCATTAAGGGTATATAATCAATAAGGGGTCCAAAGCCTACTAGTTAAAAGTGGCGAACTTATAAAAATTCTGTATTTCGAAGGGGATTATAACAAACTATCAAGTGTGCTATATTTTTGGAAAGGTAATTTTAAACTCTTTTCAGTTAATTAAAAATATAGAGGGTGTCCCAAATAAAAAAATCAATTTTTCTGTTGATAACTCTTAAAATATTAGTTTTAAAAAAATTATACTTAAACCATTAAATTCTACGTAAAAAGGTGCTTTGGAAATGTTTTCATAGAAATACAAAATTTTCCATAGTAAAAAAGTTACAGCGATTTGTTAAAAATGCACAAAAAACACCCCGTAACTCCGAAACGGTAACAGATATTGATGTGCAGTTTTCACCATCATATTTTTAATGAAAATTGAGCTCCAGATATTAGTTTTCGTCTATCTCCTATAGAAAAGGGTGTTTCCATTTAAAAGCGTCGAATTTGACCCACTCTGTACATACATGTTTTTTTATATTGAAGAAGTCAAATTTATTTTAAATATTGAAAAAATAAAAGAGACAGTTCTCTAATTTTATTAATACAATTTTATTATCAATTGATATACAGTGTGCCCACGAAATAAGTTGACACGAAGAGGAAAAAATAAGTTACTTTTTAAGACAAAAAAGTCAATTTTTAACCACCCAGTATAAGATCCGGCGGCAATTCGCGGCAGCCAGTGGCAATGAGGAAAATGCATGTTTTTAAATAATGGTTTTAAAAAATAGTTCATATAATTACAAATTGAACAAAAAAAATCGTTGATATCGGTTAAGAAATGCCTCTAATATAAAATAATTAAATATTGTTAATTTAAATGGCCGGGCAAACGCTCTTTACCGCGCCTTGCTGCTGTGACGTCACCCGCCGTTCTTCTGGTTGAGTAGAGCCAGACGCGTGTTTATTTTACACAGTTTGCTTTTAAACGCTGTTGAACCCGAGTCAAAATTTTAGTTATTTCTGTTAATTAATACATAATTAGTAATTAGTGATATTTATAAATAGTAATGGATGAGCGAAAACAGAAAAAAAATGGTGCAAGGCCATGAGAAGAGATGAAAAGAAAAACGTGAAATTATCTTCTATTTCTACGATTTATTGTTGTAAAGATCATTTTGATGTAAGTTATTATGTATATTGTCTTACATAGGTATATGAAATTTGAATGTACAGGGATATTCATTATATTTTGACACCCACCTACAGCCTTAACTGCAAGTTTTAGAAGAAAACATTAAATACAAAAGTTGCATGGTTTTTCAATTTCATTTAAAAATAATTCTAGTTATACAGGGTGTCTGAAAAACAGTTGTTCCAAAAAATTGTAGGTATTTTTCGTGTATAATTTCCTATATCTACCTATCTTCAACTGTTTACGAAATATTGACAGTTGAAAAGCGGCCATTTTAACACTTTGACAAGCTCTAAAATCTGAACCAAATGACATCGGGGAAAATGGTTTGCATATTACTATCCTAGTTTTTCATAAGCTACCGAATGATACTAACTTCGAATTTAAGCGGGGCTTACAAAAGTTAAAGTTAGTGTTATTAGATAGCTTATGAAAAACTAGAGTAGAAATGTGCAAACCTTTATCCTCGATCTCTCTTGACTTAGATTATAGAGCTAGTCTAAGTGTCAAAGGAAAGTGGCCGCTTTTCAACTGTCAATATTTCGGAAACATTTGAAGACAGGTATAGGATATTATACATGAAATATATCTAGAATCTAGAATATCTAGAAATTTCCGAAGAATCCAAAAATATATTGGGTGTTTCACTTAAAAAAGGGGGGACACCTTATATAATATTTTCATTACTGATAAAAAAATTCAATTTATTTCCTATAATTTCGTAAAAAAAACAATCTTTTATTTTTCCACGTACTAAACAAATATTTTGTCTCTTTTCAACCCTCAAGTTATCTGATTGTGCTTTTACAAAACCGGAATCTACCATTATTTAAAAAATTCTCAGAACACAAAACACACCCAAATAATAACTGTACAATAGAAGCATAATAAGCTCCTTCAATCAACGCTAAAAGCAACAAAATTGTCTTAGTACGCCACCTAAATACGTACATAAACGGAACACGTCTGCTTGCTGCTGGCCATCGCGCGTCGACGAGAACGGCTGGTGACGTCAGACCAATAGAATATCGTTTCAATTCGCGAGGCGTCGTTTGCGTTATCCATAGTATTTTAATGGCCCGTTTTATAAAATTGTGGTACTGCTTTCAAGAAAAAAGTTTTTTTTGCATTTACACATATTTATTCTAATAAATTGAACAGTTTCTGGCGAAAAATAAAATGTATGCATCTTCCCCATTAATTTATATGTAATATACTTTAAGCAACAAGTATTTTCATGCCGTTTAAAGTCCCGTTCTCAGAACTACGTCGCCGTCGTGTCGACAGCAACACTGATTGACATTTCAAACAACCAATAGGAGCTGTACTAAATTTAAAATTGACAGCTGTTTGAATTTTGTACAAATCTCATTGGTTCTTTTGTCGTGTCGCTGGCGACAGTGGCAGTTCTGAGAACGGGACTTAAGCCCCTGGCAGTGGCAGTTCTGAGAACGGGACTTAAGCCCCGTTCTCAGAACTGCGACTGTCGCCAGCGACACGACAAAAGAACCAATGAGATTTGTACAAAATTCAAACAGCTGTCAATTTTAAATTTAGTACAGCTCCTATTGGTTGTTTGAAATGTCAATCAGTGTCGCTGTCGAAACGACGTAGTTCTGAGAACGAGGCTTTAGGATTTGAAAGGGAAAGTAGTTAAAAGCACAGTTAAAAGTCTTAAATAATGACAAGCAAAAATGTAAAAATACTATTTTTGTTACCTTCAAATAAATTGCCATAAACTAATATTACTTAGGTTTAATTAAGTGCAAAAAAGAAAAAAACAGTTCTTTTTACCTTCTTTTCGAACGTTCATTACAGAAAAGGCAAAAGCTTTTATCAATTTTAATAAAATAAGTAATTAATTGGCGTAATCTGAAAACTGTTTATGTCAGCTTGATGCCATGCCAGTAGCCAAAGCCAGTAGTAAAAATGTGATATTTCTAATAACAAACACTAGGCTTACTTGATTTTGTATTTATTATGTATCGTTTACTGGGGAATATAAGAAAAGTATTAGCAACAGTTTCATGCAAACATTTTGAAATTAATATTTCTAAGTAATGACCTATCTGGGAACCACTGTGCAGTGTGAAGAAAATATTATTTTTTTGTAATGCGGCCGCCAAGTTACTCGAAGAAAAATAATGAAGGCCAAACCACGCCAAACTATAGGCCCCAAACATTTCATGTAATTAAATAAAAAAAATGTAAAAAACTAACCAGAACCAGCAGCAGTAATTTTTGAATTTCTGTTGTGATTTTTGTCTATATTGTGTTTTTGTAATAAAATTATATATCAAAGTTGTGTTATTTTTTCCAAAATATTGTCGAAAAAAAAACGGCGTCAGCGATGGCTATGAAATGAATTTTACGTGAAAAATTATATGGCGAATGTCCGTGATGTCATCGATGTTCATTTCCAAGCTAACTGAACGTCGCTTTTTTTCGATCATACACACCTAATATAAATAATAAATATCCAACTTAAGATTGATTAATTTTTAATTAGCAAATTAACATTTAATTAAATGAAGAAGTTTTATAGGTAGTCTCTATTTTTAAGTCCAACATTAGAAATATAGTTAGGACTTGATTAAAATTAAAATATCAATATTAACAAAAAAATAAAATTAAGCAATTTCAATGCAAACGCATTTCAGAAAAAAAGGCAATGTTGTTTATGCGTTTGTCATTTATTATATTTGAAATTAAAAAAAAAAGGTAGGTAGGTATAGTTACAGGTACCGATAGAACTCAGGTAAAATTGTACGATCTTTTATTCATTGTCTGAAGCTTGAAGAGAAGTGCTTTCATACCTGTTGATGGTAACTGGTCATATACGGAGTCCGCTCTGCAGAGTTCCAAGCACACAAGCAGTAAAAGAACGATTTTCTGCATCATTTTCACCCCGCACTTCAAGAGCACACTTCTCACTTCTTCATTTTCTGTAGGGGACTATAACGATTTTCAATTCATTATAAACGATAAACGAGTATGGAAACATAAACGGCAATTAAGTCAGGGACTCACAAAACAGGGAGCAAAGAGCCTTTGTACTCGAGCAAGCGCGTCGAAATTGCACGGTTACGACGGGTGAAAAACAAAAATATCAACAAAGCTCTACGCCACAACGCAATCGAAGGTTGTCCAGCAAGATCAATTTGTGGCGATGGCTAGTGAGTTCTTCGATCGGCAAAAAACCTACAAGCTACAAGAGCTTATGAAGAGCTTTTCTGTTTTGCCTGGTTTTGCGTTCTCTCTCTCACTTCCAAGCGCGCAATCCAGTGTTGCCAACTTTAAAAATCAAAAGTCGGTAGGGTGGATTTGTGCTTGAAAAATCGGTATATGTTTATACCGTGTGATCAAAAAAAAACTATGACTAAAAAATACAATTCAATTCGAATTTAGAAGGAATTTAGTCATTGTGCACTATGATCGATAAGGGCGTCAGCGATGACTATGAAATGAGGCGTCAAGTTGCAAAACCCGTCTTATCCCAAAAACGTTGTTTCGAGATATAATACAAAAACAGTTTTGGCAAATGTTTGAAGCGTTTTACAAAAAACGTGTCCATTGAGTGGAATCCTTCGTATCTCGTCTTTCTAGAAATAAATTTAATATTTAATTTTTAAAGAGAAAAACACACAATAATTCGTATTAGACGGGGTTTGTTGCAGTATGATGCATATTGCGGGTTCTGCTATAGCAAGATATTTGTATCCTAACTTGACTATTAAATATGCTATTTTATTACAATTAGGTAAGGACTAGGTAAGGATCTGAAATGGATAAGACGTCCGTAGTAATACCGAATGACCGAAAAAAAACCGGCGTCTAGTTAGCTTGGAAATGAACAACGATTACATTCCCCATATGATTTTACATATTATAAAATGACAGCGATCTTCATTTCATAGCCATCGCTGACGCAGGTTTATTTTTGATCATACGGTATTGTACTTATACGTATAAAAACCCGAATTGTGCTACAGTAACGTAATTTGTAGTGAATTTTATTGTCTCTGATTTTATACAGGGTGTCCCAGAAATAAGTGCAAGTATTTTAAGAGGTGGCAGATTTCGATAAAAGAAACATATTTTCTCTTTATCGGTTTTCAAATAAGTCCAAAATAACGAAGTTATTTTACTTTGAGAATTAAAAAAAAATGATTTTTTGCTAAAATTTTGAGAACCACGGGATCTTTTCTGGGTTTTCTTTCTTGTAAATTTAATCTACTACCTATGTTGCCATATTATCAAGAAATTATGTTTTTTAAATGAACCAAATTAACCAAACCAAACCAAACCAAACCAAAAAAAAATCGCGAAAAAACCCTCATAGGCATCTAGGCTTTGCGTGTAGGCGTGTTTCTGAAGTTGAACTATACTACCAGTTAAAATACTTGCACTTATTTCTGGGACATCCTCTATAGGAATAAGCGACTTTTGTACTGCAGTTTGAGACTGTGTTTATGTAGATTTCAGGGTCCCACTATTAATATATGTCATATTAAGCCATTTTTTTAAATGGATAAGGTGGGTTTTGCAACTTGACGCCTCAAATGAAGATCGCTGTCATTTTATATTAAAGGGAAATTAAAACAATTTTCGTTGCACGTCATCAATGACGCCATGCGTCGTCTTATGGAGTTTGCTGGTGGTCGTATTATGATGTGCAACCAAAGTTATTTTAATTTCCCTTTTATGTAAAATTATATGGGGACTGTCATCAGTCGTCATTTCCAAGCCAACTGGACGCCTTTTTTTCGATCGTACGGTACAAATCTTATACAGGATGAGTCTTAAATAATAAGTGCAAATGTTTTTGAGCTGATAGATCTCGATAAAGGAAACATATTTTCCTTTTTTCAAATAAGTCTAAAATCGAGATACCGTACGTATGATCGACAAAAAAAAACGGCGTCCAGATGGCATGGAAATGACGATCGATGGCCTTTAAGGCGCATTCTCACGACTCGTGTACTTGGCAAGTATTTTATACTTGCCTCACAGAACACACTAAAGAAGAACGCTAACTCCCATGCATTTTTTAGTTTCAAAACGGTTTCAAATTTGTAAAGAAATCTGTAATCTGTATGTTGAAGTGGCGCCATCTAGCCACCCAGGAAAGTAACAAATGTGGCGGCAAATTTAAATAGATGCAATTTATTTTTAAGCAAGACGTATTGACTTGTTCGCCAGTTAGAGCCAATCAGATTTCTACAAAATAATGTGTAGTCATCTGATTGGTCCCAAGTTGGCAAACAAGTCAAATGGTAAAAAACAAGGATTTATATATAAAGGTTAAACCAGGTTAAACTATTGTAAAGTGTTAAATGGTTTGCTTATATCATTTTATGTGCATAAAAGCCTACAATAAATAATTTAATTTAATTTACAGAAAATTATACCATGAAACATTTTACAAACAAATAAAACAACCGATTAAAAAGTATAATATTTATTATAGTACCAGATTTAAGAACACATAACAAATATCGTTGGAATACAAGAGAAAGTGACGTCCATTTGAAACAATGTTTTATTTACGTGTACTTTTTACATATGGACTTGAACAATTGTGTAATATCACATTTTGGAGTTTATGTACAAAAATATGGAGTTGATCAATTTTTCTTTTGTAAAAATATATGGCGTTAATATTACATTGTTAAAAAATAAAATTCACGAACATTTGGACTTGGTTAGGTTACCTCACCTCACTTTCTCGGATTATTAAATAAAATTGTTAGATAAATCAAAGACCTTTAACTTAAACCTTACCTTTAATAAAGATCTTAAAAATCAAAAACAAAACAAAGTTCAAAAAAATTCAAAAATACAAAATCAGGATTGTAAAATGAAGATTGCAAAAAACACAGCCAAACAACCAGAAAACAGCGAAACGCACATCTCCGTTCAATTGCAAAACACAACTGAGGAGAAAGGAGGAAGCCGGAAACGGAAAACTGATTTGACATACAGAACAATGACAAAACATAATTAATAGGCCTATTTAGGCAACTATAAAGACAATTTTGTACGCAATTGTTAGGCAACTAGAAAAATTAAAATAAAAATTCGCCATCTAGCGCCCCAGGAAATTACTACCCCAAAAAAAGATCGTTCAAGGTCGTATATCTCAGTTGACTGGCCCTGACTTGCCTACAGGGTCTGGCGGGAGGGCGGCGTCGTAGTTCCTATACTTAATAAATAACTTAGAAATTCTGTATAGATGCCCAACGCACCGTGTATACCAATTACAACTGTTTGTCAAGTATGCGAGTCGTGAGAATGCGCCTTTAAGATATATCGTATCATAAAAAAAACGGCGTCAGCGATGGCTATGAAATGAAGATTGCTGTCATTTTGTATGTAAAATTATATGGAGAATGTCATTCATCGTGATTTTCAAGCCAACTGAACGCCGTTTTTTTTCGATCAACGCATTTTTTTTTCGATCAACGCATTTTTCATACGGAAAAAAAAATACGGAATCATAAAATCATACGGAATCTATGTATTTTTCCATCGTGGAGCTTAAGTTTAAGCACAGAGTTTAAGGTAATGGTGTGGATCCGGTGGCTGACCTTGAAACGAGTTATTGCTGCATATAGTCACAGACACTACGCATGCGTACATCTTCGATGTTGCCAGATTGCAAGTTATTTTGAAAATATTTTCAGTAGAAAACAAATATGTGCATTTCAGTGTTTTTTTGTCAATATATACCGTATGATCGAAAAAACGGCGTTCAGTTGGTTGGGAAATGACGATTGAGGAGATTTCCCATATAAAATGACAGCGATCTTCATTTCATAGTCATCGCTGACGCTGTTTTTTTTCAATCATAGTACGCGGTATATTATTTATATTATTATATATTATTATATATAATATTTCGCACAACACGTGAACGCTTATTATGTATTTTCATAGTCAATAAAATTAAATAGAAATAAAACACTAGATTCCTATAATTAATCTAATTGCTCTAGATTATTATGCTACGTTTAAAAAGGGCTTTATTAAAAATTCGGGAAATTAAAAGGGATGTGTCCAAGTTTTTTCTTTTTTTATAGAGCTGTAGCTCCATGTCATGTTCATAATAGTTTTTTTTAACATTCCATCAAAACTACGCAGGCCTTAAAAGGCCTTTTAGCCACCGTAATAAAAATTGTAGAATCAGCTTCAGCAACATTAACAGTTACCTTGTTTAATTCTGCTTATACATGTATATTGCATTTTTCTGCTACCTTAAGATTTCTCTATTCTTACACCTAATTAATATAATAGGATATGCAAAATTTATTATTATTATTATTATATAAAAAAGATATTTTAGCATTTATTTTCCAGACAAAGCATAATATAGTATTAAGATTAAGATATAACAAATATTATAAGAAAGATCTTAATATAAATCACAAACTAACTAAATCTAATTTGGTCTTATATAAACACAGGTATAAAACTAATAACTGTGCTAATAAGATCAGAACTCAACCTTCACCATATTGTCAAGATTTGGCATTATAGAAAACAAGAAATTACAGTAGATTAAGAAAAGAATATCAAAGTACACGATATTAAATACTGTAATGTATTCTACGACACAAACCATCTCCCTTCTAAAGAGAAAAAGATAAAACATAAAGGTTATATTTTAGTCTTATCACCACACTCTTCGATAAAATATATGTCTAAAATTGCTATAATCCACTAACTTGATATTTTTAAGAAATTTTGATACAAACATTATAATAAAAGTATATTATATTAGTAACATTATAGGTAAAATCACAGTAAAATGTTACCTCTATCTCCCATTGACGTGTATTGTTCTATAAGACTCGTCATGGTAGTACTTCAATACATCAATACATATAATCAAAACTATTGTTGCCTGTAAATAACTAGAAATTAAATAACTTGAAAGAAATAAAATAATTCTAATAAGTCTAAAACCATTAAGAAAATATCCGTAAAAGATAATTTTTAATTCTAATGTAAATATATAAATAAATGTTATTATTATTACAATTTTATATATCATTTCTTAATTTTGGATATCAAGATAAATCTGAGATTATAAAATTAATTATAGAATTTATCTTATTATTGATTAACACTCAAAAAAAATATTTCAACTGTTAATAATTTGAAAAGAAACTGCAATTTGGCAACATCGACCATGTGCGCTTGCGCAGTATCGATGATCAAATGCAGCAAATATGGGCTTCAAGGTCAGCCACCGGATCCACACCTTCGCCGTTTTTAGACCTAAAACCATAGAGTTAAAACCTAAAACAAGGCTAAAACCATGCTAAAACCATAAAACCCTACCTGTGACCTGTGACCCTACTTTTGGACAATTATTTAAGAGTAAAAACATTGGCACCACTGTTGACGTCATACGTCATACTTCTTTTCTAGCTTCTTTTGTTTAATTTTTTATTCTGCCCAGTGTTACCAACTCCGGGATTTTATCCCTAAATTTGGGGAGAAAAAATCTATATGGGGATTTTTTTAGGGAGTAAAATTTTTTGGGGATATTTTTAGGGATATAATTTCATTGGAATTTTACCGCTACCAAAGAGGAGATAAGACCGCTACTGCCATTTTTCAAAATTAATAGGAAAGTATAAATAAAACAAAATAATTTATTTATTTTAGTCACCGATTCTTGGATAACAGTTGTGGGGATTTTAATTGTTTGGATTTAAGAAGGTTTGATAGCTTTAAGCAAATACGATTTGGCTTTAAGGAAAAGTTTTGAACAGTTGGCTACACTGCTGTGATCAGACGCTTCAAGGTCAACCACTTAAAACACAACAAATTGTTTATTTATTACTATTTATATTTTTAGTTTTTTTCGTGATATTTTTTTAGGTTTTTAGGGATATTTTAGGGTTTTTTATGCGAGCGTTTTAGATTTTTAGGGAGATAAATTTTTGAGAGTTGGGAACACTGATTCTGCCAACTGTCAGTGTCAATCAATGTTTATCTGTGGAATCTGTGGTAGGGTAAATTAAATACTTATATAATTTGATTTTTGAGACCCAAAAATAGAAAAATGAGCGCTAAAACGGTCGAGAAACCCTACGAATACTTCGATACACCCGATGGACAAGATACTTTTAAAAAATTATTGGCAGCTTACAAACCAACCACCCTTGTGGCTGGAATGTTGAGTACTGCCGATGTCGTATGTATAAATAAAAGTATTTTTTTCATCCTACATGTCTAGATTTTGTTGTAGATCTTGGTCACCCATCCTAAAGGTGTATTGCCTACCTTAGGCCGATTGGCAGCCGTCGCTCTCCCATTTTATGGTATTACAACTACTTTTGTTCTCGCAACTAATACCCTTACTAATTTAAGACAGAAAGATGACAAAATTAACTGGGCTGTAGGAGGTAAATAAGTTTAATTCTTTCCGTCTTCAATTATTAATACAAATATTTGATACAGGGGCCTTAGCAGGCAGTTGTTTTGGTATATGGTTCCGTAATCGTATGATTGGTTTTAATATGGCTCTATTCTGTGGCATTTTAGCTGTAATTAGGAAAGAATGTAATCAGCAGGGATGGATATGGTTTCCAGAGATTAACGTATGTCTTATTATTTTGTTTCTAAACTTGTTGAGCCCTCTTATTGTCTTATTTATTTTAGAATAAACGTGGAATGGCTACCAAACCTCTTCGAAACTATTCTCTTTTTGAGGAGAGGCCAAAAGGTTGGACTACAGGAGCACAATAGCCTAATTTATGAAAACTGTAGTTTATGTAAAAATAAGATTATGATTTATAATAAACTTTTATTTCTTCCTTAAAAATGTACTTCCAAATCACTCCATTCACTCTATGCTAACCATTCACTCTATGCTATACAGGACAATAAAGTAAACTAATCCAAGATATAACACCAAATCTAGCCATTCATCTATGTGCACATTATATAAAATACGTTAACATCTAAAAATTCCACTTAGTATCTGGCGATAAACATTTTACTTGTAGGTTGTTATTTCTTTGAAGATCCTTCATCTCCAACATCTGAAATTTATTTTCATTACCTATTTATGTTTACTTCAGCTGATGAGTGATACAATTTTAAAAGCATTAAGTAAATGAATACCAAGAAAGTAGTAAAACCATCAAAATAAGCACCTACATTTTTATTGTAATAATAAAATATTAATATAATCCATGCTTTAAAAATTAGAAGTCATTTATAGTTTATAGTAAGCACCGCAACCCACCTATAAGCATAAATTAAAGCAGAATATCTAAGAATTTACAGGTGTAAACTAAATGTATTAACAGAAAAGCACAAGTAGAAAAAATAAGTTAGCTGTCCGTACTTTTTCCATCACAGGCCACAATTTTCACTTTGTCGATTCTAGTGATTTCTTGAACTTCTCGAAATTCAACATCATTGAGCATAAAGGTCCACACATTGTCACAAAACCTGTATGTGTTAAGTTTACCAGCTTTGAAAGTCAGTCTTGATTTCACCCTTGTAGCTAAAGTCTGATTTATGGACTTGTCAAACTGTAACAGCACTTTAGAAGCTAACTGTTGTGTTATCTGGCCATACTAAAGCAATATAAGAGAGATGATTGGTATTTAAATGATAAACATTATTTTTTTTACCTGTATGAGTTCGTCCAGGCTTTCTTGTAAAGTATTACCTAACGTTGTATTCCTATAAAGTTGATAAGACATTTCTTATAGTTTCCAAAAGCTAAATTAATATTGGAGTTCTTAAAGGGAAAATGAGTATATTGGTATATTTAATTTAATAAATATTCTTAAAGAAAAAACTATCAACCAGTAGAACAGCACACATCATATGCACACATTCTTGTCAAATGTCAAATCTGACAGGAGCTGACAGTTGACAGATGAGTGATGGTTGGTTGGGTTGGTTCAGTGCCTTCTATTAAAAGATCAGCCTACGGGCGGACTTTTGTTTACTTCATCAGCTGTACATACTTAGATATTGGGTTAGATTCCGTTTCATATTTTGTTGGTTGATTTTTGGTTTTAACTCTTTGATTTTTGGTATTATTTATTATTGTAGTGCAAAAAACTAATTATTTTGGTGTTGAAGTGACATAAACTACTACCAGATATATGGTATTTTATAGTCTCACCTTTATAATATATTAGAATATCTAAGTCGATAATGCAAAATTTATTTAACAGTCACAGTGGACAAGTATTTGTTTATTAACTTTTATTTTATTAATTAATATCAAGACAATTATTTATTTATTAACGTGTGTTTAATGTATAATTAAATAAAAAATAATGTAATAAGATATATTTTAAACGAGTATATACATATATACTGTATGATCGAAAAAAACGGCGTCTTGTTTGTTTGGAAATAACAATTTCACAAATGAATATTAAAAATTACATTATTCATTGAATATTGAATCCGTAAGCAAGTGTGAAGAGAATTGGCTAGATTCATTATTATACCGTTTAATCGAAAAAAACGACGTCCAGTTGGCTTGTAAATTACGATCGATGACATTCTCCATATAATTCTACATATAAAATTACATAAAAACTATACAAAACGACATCGAAAAAAGACGGCGTCAGCGATGGCTATGAAATGAAGATCGCTGTCATTTTATATGTAAAATTATATGGGGAGTGTCATCGATCGTCATTTACAAGCCAACTGGACGTCGTTTTTTTTTCGACCATACGGTATAATAATGAATCTAGCCATTACCCTTCACACTTGCGTACGGTTTCAATGAATAATGTAATTTTTAATATTTGTTACCTTCAATCATAAGAATATCCTATTTTTAAGAATATCCGAATTTATTCACAAAAAAATAAAACAATTCTAGAAACTTTGTGTTATTTATTTTTAAATTTTTATTAATTACTCACTGAAACTATTATTACACACTTAAATTAGCAAATTTTTTGAAAGAATATTTAAAAAAATATATGCATGTAGTAACAAGTAGCCCACCACAAGTTTGTTCACCCTCAACAAATCTTGGCAGGTAATTTTAAGTTTTATATAACTATACATATAGATTTTTTATCACTAGAATTTTTCATTTTTTTATAGTTTACAATTATTTTCCATATTTGATAACAATACTTTATACATTTTTTTACATGTAAAATATATAAAAAAATGTTTATTGCAGAAATTGTATTTCTCATTTCTCTGATAATAATTCCCTACGCCACTGGTGACATCCGGTCTGAGTAGCAATATTTATAGTTTCAAACATTAATTATAATACAGGATATTGAAAATACTACTTGGAATTATTAAAAAAAAGTTTGGTCTGGATGTGGTACAAGACATATTAAAAGCATTTTACATATTTTTACTGCTATAATGAAAAAAATGTACATTTTATGACCACATAACAAAAGTTGTGTATCGATTTTTACCTGTGAAATGTAATTCCAGCCACTTTTTTCTCGCTTCGGCCTTTGCAGCCATACTCTGAACATCTCAGCATACTAAACAACACAGTTTATAAATTTAAAACAAAACAGTTGTCACAAAAAACATAAAAATTCGCTCGGTGTCACCTCGAAATCTTGTCACCAAAGTATGGCCGCCGATCGAATTTTGGCCTCACTATCCGATCACAGGAGAATATGCGTGTTACCCGTCCCCTCTCTTTCCTTGTCTAAGCACTCTTCAATAATGGATTGGACACGAGAAGCTTCTACGTCCCACTAGTCAACTCGCATACCCAACAATGTTGCCGTTTGTTGTCGCCAGAGATGAACGGTTTTAAGAACGGCGGAAAGTACGCCAGAGCCAGAGGTAACGCCTAGCGAATCCTATTTTATGGTCTAGCTGCCTAGCTATAGCTGGCTCTAACTTAATAAAACTCTAAATTCCTATAATTAATCTAATTGCTCTAGATTATTATGCTACGTTTAAAAAGGGCTATATTAAAAATTCGGGAAATTGAAAGAGATGTGTCCAAGTTTTTTTTTTTTTAATTTTTAAATGCTGTAGCTCCATGTCATGTTCATAATAGTATTTTTTATCATTCCATCAAAACTACGGAGGCCTTAAAAGGCCTTTTAGCCTCCGTAATTAAAATTGTAGAATCAGCTGCTTCAGCAACATTAACAGTTACCTTGTTTAATTCTGCTCATACATATATTGCATTCATTTTTCTGCTACCTTAAGATTTCTCTATTCTTTATTCTTACACCTAATTTATGTGATTTTCTTAGCATATATGATTTATAAACCATATTTTTCCTAAGGGATGGAAAGAATGGAATAGGATATGCAAAATTAAGATATTTTAACATTTATTTTCCAGACAAAGCATATAATATATTATTAAGATTAAGACATAACAAATATTATGATAAAGATCTTAATATAAATCACAAACTAACTAAGTCTTAATTTGGTCTTGTATAAACACAGGTATAAAACTAATAAGATCAAAACTCAACCTTCACCATATTGTCAAGATTTGGCATTATAGGAAACAAGAAATTACAGTAAATTAAGAAAAGAATATCAAAGTACAAGACACAAACCATCTCTCTTCTAAAGAGAAAAAGATAAAACATAAAGCTTATTTTAGTCTTATCACCACACTCTTCGATAAAATATACATCTAAAATTGTTATTAATCCACTAACTTGATATTTTTAAGAAATTATGATACAAACATTATAATCAAAGTATAATATATTAGCCTTGATATTAGTAACATTATAGCACAGATAACACATAATTTTCAAAAGATTATGTGTTATCTGTGATTAAGGTAAAATGTTACCTCTATCAGACCTCTATCTCCCATTGACGTGTATTGTTCTATAAGACTCGTCATGGTAGTACCTGTGGTAGTACTTCAATACATCAATACATATATTCAAAACTATTGTTGCCTGTAAATAACTAGAAATTAAATAACTTGAAAGAAATAAAATAATTCTAATAAGTTTAAAACCATTAAGAAAAAATCCGTAAATGATAATTTTTAATTCTAATGTAAATATATAAATAAATGTTATTATTATTACAATTTTATATATTCAATTTTATATATCATTCCTTAATTTTGGATATCAAGATAAATCTGAAATTATAAAATTAATTTTTGAATTTGTATTATTATTGATTAACACTCAAAAAAAATATACAACTGCAAATAATTCGAAAATAAACTGCAATTTGGCAATATCAACGATGTGTGCTTGTGTAATATCGATGATCAAATGCAGCAAATATGGGCTTCAAGGTCAGCCACCGGATCCACACCTTTACCAAAGAGTAGATAAGACAAGAGACGACAGTTCGCGCGGTACCTTTCATGTTTGAGTGGTGGGGAGAGTGACCTCGTCTCGCTTGTCCCTTTAAATTTTCGTAATTTTTTCGCGGGAAATTTGAAATAGACTATTATTAAAACTTGCTTGTATAGCTTATAAATAGTTACTGTATGGGTAAAGAAATAAATAGAAACGAAAAAAAAAAAAAATGAGTTTTCTAAATATTATATAAAATAAATTATAATTAGAAACATATTTGTGGGGGAACAGAGATAATAAAAGCAATATTTTGTATATCGTTGGTAAACAAGATAAAGTGACCAAGTCGATTTGTAAGAAATGTTTTATTTACGTGTATTTTTTTACATATGGACTTGAACAAGTGTAATATCACAATGTGGAGTTTATGTACAAAAAATAGAGTTACTGAATTTTTTTTGTAAAAATATATTACAAGCTTCTAACCATGTCTTCGATCTATGGATTACAATTAGTTTAATACCATAATTATATAGTATATTTCTATAAAAATACTTTTCAGGATCCTTTGGAAAAGAATGAATTATGTTTGTCGAATTACAAGACCTATTTTTGCAGTTTTTATAAGCAAACACATTGCCACCATCTCGTCTTTTCCTGCTACTCGTGTGTCCTGTTCAGTATTTATATTTAACAATAATTACAAATTAGTAGGCAACAAAAACGATACTAAAATTAAACCTTAAAAACTCTTAAAACGATAATATATCGAAAAACTCTGAAACACACTTGGCAAAAATGCAAGAAAACAACTAATCAGATCTGTTTATGTTTAGCCTGATTAGCACAGCTGATTAGCGTCCTGTGCTGTGGTCCTGTGTTAGCGTCCTAAAATCATAGGTTAGTGCGGCGTTACACGGTCCGTTTTTGCAGTTCCCGCACTGCGGGTCCCGTTTTGCGGTATGGCAATATCGCATGAGATGGCATGGCAGATGTAACACCTCGTAACACCATCCGTTTTTGCGGGATGTGCGGCGACATGCTGCCGCAATGCAGGATTGCGGGATGCGGGAACCTTGGTGACGACACAGTCAGTTGAATGTAAACTGTAGCACGGTACGTTTCTGCGGTATGCCGCTTTGATCGCGAAAAGCAAAATATGTTTGATACGGACCAATTTATCGAGTTAATTCGTGGGCTACCTGCCCCTTGGGACAAATCAAACCCCGAATATTCCAACAAAGATGCACGACAAAGGGCATGGGTGAATCCTCATTGTCGTGTTTTGTTTCGTGATGCTGGGTCTCAATATTTTAAGCAATACATCAAAAGAATTTTGAGACATCCGATAGTAGCCAAAGAATTTATCATTGTACTTTCGAATTTTAGAATGAAATTTTCAAATCTTCGTCTTCTTTTGCGCTCGGAATTAAAAGGATGAACCCCCCAGGTTTTACGGTATTTCGGCTCTCGTAATATATTTTTAGCTTCAAGTAATAAAACTTAATTTTGAAAGGGACATAGTTCCTTCGTGTCTGCCATACAATATCAAAATGTGCGTAGTAGCTGCACGAACCCTTTTTTGCAGGATCGTATAATTGGAGGCCACGATCCGTTTCTGCGGCATCCTGCAAAACGGGATGCCGCAAAAACGGACCGTGTAACGCCGCACTTAGAATAAATAAAATACGCCGTTGTCAGATTTTCAGATTTTATCTGTTTATCTTTGAAATCGATCAACTTAGTCATTCTGTTTCTTTGATATTATCAGTACATTGCGAAAAAAGAACCTAAACCAACCTAGACTAAAAATTTACATTTCCGTATTAACATACGTTACTTATATCCTTCTTATATTATTTAATTTATTTTCAGAAAATCTTGTTTATTTTTCAAAGAAATATACTTGGCAACAAACAAAATGGGACTTCATGGGGCCTTTAAATTTTAACAATTTTAATATATCTGCGTCTTTCTCGCGAAATTCGGCTTCTTTGTTCATTGTCGTCTCTTGTCTTATCTAAGTCTTATCTACTCTTTGCCTTTACCGTTTTTTTTTGGTTTAAATTGCAGGCGAAATACCCGACCCATTTATCGTTTATGCGCGTGCAGAATTGCGAAATTAAGGGACAACAAACGGCAACGTTGGGTATGCGAGTTGACTAGGGGGACGTAGAAGCTAGTTTGGACACTTAGATTGGCCAACATCAAGAATATAATAAACAAAATTACCAACCTTTCAAAAATATCATATCGTACATTACACAGTTGCCATTTTTAAAGTAGTTTATCTTGGAATATCCGCTTAGTTTTTCAATTAGCATTTTCATTAGCCTTTCATTAGCGTACCTCGTGATTTTTGTTATGTTTAGTTATTTCAAAGCAGTATTTACAGTTACTTTAACCAGGTTTAACTTAACATTTACTCAGTTCCTATTAACACTCTGTAAATAGTGTTCCTTCAACTTATTACGCCTAGTTTTCAAATAGCCTAAAACTAAGTAAGTAATTTTTATTCTGAATAATGTAGAAGTTGTATTTGAGTATTGAAAATGCCCCGAAACAGAAAAAAATAAGTATACGTACCTTTATATAATTATTTAAATTCTTGAATTTACTGAGGGGTAAAAGGAGGTTATTTGGCAATGGTGCTATAAATGTCATTGCTCCGACCGCAGAACGTCACGATCACATGATACGAAAGAGATGACAGCGAAAGAATTTGAAGTTTCGATGTGAGTGAAGAAAATAATCCTTTTATTCTGCCTCAATTGCTAAATGAGTGTGATTTGTCGCAAGTTATGTGATAATATTATAAGCTACAGCTCTCTCTAACATTAACGCTATTTTTTACAGTTAGAAATAGATATAAAAGTCTAGTGTAGGTTTAATACATAGGAGTAAATAAATAGGTTTTCCAATGTTAACGATGTTTTTCTGATTTATCTTTGCAGTCCGATGTCTCTGTTATCTTTTACGAAGAACGTAGACAGAGGTTCCTACGAAAAACTCTCGATAAGGGATAGTGCAAGATCTTTAAAAAAATATGGATCAACCAGCACAAAAACCGCTACAAAGGCAGAGAGTTATATCAAACATTTTGTCAGTAACAGTGATACGCTGCAAGGTATCGCTCTAAAATATAACGTAACTGTAAGTATTATTTTCACTTATTTCTTTCTACTAATTCTGTTTCAAAATAATATAGATTGAACAAATAAGAAGAGCAAACAAACTCTGGGCTTCAGACAGCCTATTTTTAAGAGAATTTCTTCTAATACCTCAGCCAGACAATGCAAACGATCTGCTATCTCCAACACAAATGCAGTCAACTAGTTCACAATCATCGCTGGCTAGTTCTAGTGCAGAAAACCTAAATCAGAATAGAATGTCAATAGGGAGCAGCACAAGGAGTAGTTTTGATGAGGAGAATATCAGTGATTTTCTTAGTAAAATTGATGCTTCAATAGCCAGTACTAAGGAAGTAGTTAAAAAAGTAGCTGATACTGGAGAGTAAGTTTTTTTTGTTAATCTTAAGAATACTGAGTCATTTTCATCAGTTTTAAAAGGTAGTTTCCTTCAAGGTTAATAGCAAGGTTACTTTTTTTATGTTAATTATATAGGGAATGTCAGGCAAGATTTATTCTATTAAACAATACAAAACACAGACTTTTTTAACAATTATCACATCACGGAATATTTTTTTGCTAGTAATTCCTAGGATAATTTTGCCACTTTTAGATATGGTACGGATATTACAATGGATGGTAAAAGAAAACCTCAATCTAGACTGAAGCCACAACACCAAAATAACAATGCTTTCCCCCCTGTAGCAGCACTGAACACAGTAGTCACTGTACAGCAAGGTAAAAAAGTTCAGACAAACTTGGAATTGCTTGAGCAACAACAGGATGAGTTATTTGAGTTGTAGCAGGGCTGAAGATTAGCCAAGAGTCCCATATTTTTGTCTCGTTTTTTGTTTTACTATTTTTGATAACTAATGAAAATATTTGTTTTTAACTTGCCACTTGCCACCTTTACAATCATATTATAAAAGAATGTTATAAGCATGGCAACATCGCATATTGAAGTAAGCCTTTAAGAACGGCCCTTAAGAATTCTGTTATTTTTCTTAAAATAGGTAGGTACTTTTTCTATGACAAAAAATGAAGTATGAAAAAATACGACATAGAAAAAACTATTTTTTTAAATTTAAATCAGATTTTGGATTTTTTGTGATTATGTCTATGAGTATATAATAAAATTATTAGAAATTATAGTTATTACTGCTAACTAATATGTACACGCAGCACCCCAAAGTTATATTTTGTGATTATATGTTTTCTATTTTTTTTTTCAAAACATATTAAAGATATCTTAAAGGATTGTTATTAAAATATATAACTATGACCGAAAAAATAGCGTCTAATTGTTTGGAGATGAAGATTGATGACATTTTCCATATAATTTATTGACGCGATATTTTTTTCGATTGTATGGTATAAAAACTTATTTTTATCAATATACTTAAAAAATATAAATACCTATAGTTTATGTGTAATGACAAATATATTTTGCACAATGTATATATATTCCCTGTTATTTCTTTTTGGAAGAAAAAAGCTTTAAAATATCACTATTTCTGTTTATAATGTCCTGTATTTAAGACAAAAACAATATTTATATTGTAATTTTTAATATAAAACCATGTGGGGTGTATCAAGCCTATATCGGTACTTCCCAGATCAAAATATGTATTGCTTTTCAAGCCTCATTTGGGTTAATATATTTTTAGTTGTTATTGTGCAAACCCTGGGAAAGTTTTGCGACAAGACAATTAAGCGTCAAAACTTTCCCAGATTAAACTGTATTGTCTTATCAAGTAGGGCCTTGGACATTGACAATTAAGACAAAAATACATAGTTTTTATAGGAATGTTTTTGTTCAAAGCCTGTCTTATGTGACTGTATTGGCAGCTACTGTATGATCGAAAAAAAGGGCATCCAGTTGGCTTAGAAATGACGATCGATGACATTCCCCATATAATTTTACATGTAAAATGACAGCGATCCTCATTCTATACCCATCGCTGACGCCATTTTTTTTCGATCATATTGTATCAGAGATTCAGTAATTCACGGTACCTAACAGCCACAAATTGTTTTGTTCCTTTTTCTTTTGTTAAACTATTATATTTTTTTATTTTGTATATTGTTGTTAGAATTAAATAAATTAAATTTATTAAAACTAAAAAGCTATAGGTTGTTACAACTTTAGCCGTGCAATATAACGTAAAAATCACGTTATAGCAGGACATGCCCTATTAATATTTTTTTTAATAAAAAAGGTAATATATTATTGTTATTTCATTTGCTTTAGATACTGAGGAGGAGAGGAATTCCAAAGAGGGAGAGGATGCTGCATCATACACTTGGCCACAAAAACGAAAGCATTTTGCTAAGGAAATCTTGTCAAATTGGAAACATCGAGCTGGAAGCTATAGAATTAACTATAATAGATTCTAAGAGCTATTTTATTAGGTTTTACTCAAATTCTAGATTTTACTAAGGCTGAAATAGTGAGAGACTAAATAAAAAATCAATTTTAAAAAATATTTTTTCAGAATCCTGATATTTAGATGATAGCTTTAGCTTTTGTGGTCATTTGTATGTTGTAAGCATATCTAACTACTAACCAAAGCCTTTTCTAATCTCAAATAACAAGTACAGTTGTGTAGAACTTATATTTAATTAAAGTAACAAATAACAATTGATAATAAATGCACTTTGGTAAATGGTGATTATTATACAATAATATACACTTGATGGCTTATACTAACAAAATTTGAAATATTTGCCCTAACATTGGTTCGACTTGTGACAAGTCATATATTAAGGTATATTTGTGATTATCAAATATTTACTCACCTAAAATTTATACCCTTTCTTCAGGTAGTTTTTATACTAAATAATGAGAACAATTAGAGATAAGTTACCATATTAAGTCAACAGCCAAATGAAAGTGATTATTTGGGTAATATAAAGATAAAGAGGCATTTTTCACCTACCTTATCTATACATAGTTACCACTAAATGCTATTTTTCCAGCTTCAATGAAGCCACCGTATAATGTCAACAGTACTAAAAAGTTTTATGTGTTAATATATGAAAATTTACTTATTCCCTAACAATTCGGATAGTCTTTGTTCATTTTTTAAAATGGTACTCCTAACAAGAGTTATTTCACGTTCTTGTTTCTTAATCTCTTCTTTTAAATGTTCTAATTTGGCTATCAGTGGTTTACTAAATTCCATGCAAGACCTATAATATGAGGTTAATTAATAAAAATCAGTAAGGTTTACCTATTTTACTTTTTTTGTTTCTCAATCTCAGAATATAGTTGTTTTTTAGTATTTGTCCACGTTTGCAGTTCGTTATGCATAGCATCTAAATCCTCATGAAGGTAATTCATCAGCTTTCCTAGAGGATTTGCTGTTTTTGTCAAGGACTGGATCAGAGATCTTAATTGAGTGACTTCCTTGGTTGTTGCATCTTTACCTCTCAACTCTAGCCAAATAAAAAACTGACAGAGGTATTTTACTATTTAAGAAAACTTACCATCATGTTCCCAATCGATTTCCACCTTCCTCTTAGATCCTTCTTCTTGAATTTGCTCCAAAATTTGCTCTACCAATTGACCTTTATTTTCTCCAGAAACGTTCAACAAATCTGAAGAGGCTATGTTATTATCCTCTTCATCCTCTGGAGCATTCTAATAAAATGAAAACAATTCTGAAGGAAATGCAGAGACTGGGTAAAAGTCTATATCTCTGTAAATGTCGGTTATCTGTCGGTGAATAACAACCATTAGACTGAGTAGCTATGCCTAGTAGTTTAGGCCGTTAAACTAAAATACCACTAAGGTCCTTTAAATTAATTAAAAAATACCCCTAAAAGCCAAGAAACATTTTTTCTTTTATCTATGCAATTATCTATGTGAACAATATACCTATGGCACCCGTAATACCTGTTTATAAAAGAAAATGCTGAGTGTATTGCATGAATTCTTATCCCAAGATTGAAATATATGATATAAACAGAGACAACAACTATCTCTGATATAAAAGCAAAATAAATACATTGATAAATACAATATAAAGCCTCGTTTTCAGAACTACGTTGTTATGCCACTGGCTTGCGATGCTATTCTTGACATCGTCTTGAGTCTTGCAGCAGGACCAAGACTATCTAAACTTATTACTCTTTAGTCTTTTACTAGACAAATTAGACCCTGTAAGACTAAGACTACTATTAAGGACTTGAGTCGAGCGCTGTATGTTATGACGCATTCTCACGACTCGTATACTTGACAACATTTGTAATTGGTATATAGGGCATACATGGTACGTCGGGCATCTATACAGAATTTCTAAGTTATTTATTATAGGAACTACGCCGCATTCCCAGACCCTGTATGCCAATAAAAAATACTTGCCAAGTAGACCAGTCGTGAGAATGCACCTTACGCTTCGTCCTACGTGGGCGACAGAAGCGGGCGATGTGAGCGACACGTGTTTTTTCAAACACCGTTCTTCTGAAATCGTTCTTTGTCGGCAATACAGGACACTTTCATAAGCATAGATAACAGAGCTAATTCATAAGTTTTATAAGAAATTATTAATTGTTTATAAGAAAACGTTTTTTGATAAGGTCGCGTCGCTCGAATCGCCCTAATCGCCGATTAGGGCGGTGCGAGCGACGCGTACTTATTAAACAACGTTTTCTTACGAAGCTGTTCTAGGTAGGAGAGGCGCGCGATATCGCGCGACTGAAGCGACATCGTAGGCGATTGAAATATGTCGCGCGCGTCGAGTTCATCGCCCCCTGTTTTCGTATGCGTCGCCCGCTCGCTATTGTAGCCCATGTAGGACGAAGCGTTAACGCATGTTACGCTTCGTTCTTTCAAATTTCAATGGAGATTGACGACGATTTTCAATTTCTTCTGCAACAATAATTAGCTACCCACTTTCCCATACAGGATGTTTCTTAATGACAAGTTAATATTTAAGGAGGTAATTCTTGGGCCTCTAAGAAAAAAACTTCCTAATATATGTCCTAAACATCTTAACTTTTCAGCTACAGGATATGGTAAAATTTTCTAATTTTTTTTTAAATATCTCTGATGGTATATTTGATACCTAAGTTTGATACACGTCTTCCAGGCATTAAATTGCTTATTTTGATATACAAAAAAAAATGTTTTATCTCTTAATTTCCTTCCAGCCGATTCAGAAATTATTTTTCCATACAACAGTCACCGCATCATATTTTTAGCAATTTGCCCTGAAATAAACTAATTTTTTAAAGCATAAATTATGCAACGGACAAAAAAAATCAAGAGATACAAATTGTTGAGAAATGTATGGAGATAGAAAGTGATTTAGAAAATAATTTTTATTATAAGAGCAGTCAGTGGTGTACCATTTTTTTCTCCAAAAATATTCAATGTAAAACCCGTATGGACGGCACTGGTTGAAATAAATACAATTCTTTGTACACCAAAAAAGGTATTTTGATGCATAGCAGACGTTTATCAAGTTTCATAAAAATATCTATAATAAAATCAGTTATTTTGAAATTTCTTTTTTAGAAAAATTTACCACCCTGTATCTCAGAAATTAAGATGTTTAGGACAGATATTCATATGAAGTTTTTCTTTTAGAATATGTCCAAAAATCACCTCCTTAAATATTAGCATGTGATTAAGGAACACCTTGTATGTTTTACCTGTATAATTACTGTATCTTCATCATCAGGTACATTTTCAATAATAACTTTGATATTTCCCATGGCTACCGGTTCATTGGAGGGTAATGCACTGTCGGGTCTTAATCTTGGAGCCCCAGGTCTCGCGCTAGAAGGCCTAACACTCGGTGGACGTAGTGAGCTTGAAGGTCTTTTAGGAGTCCCTAAAAATTATATACATTTGGTAAAATTATGGTATTTGGGAAGTAGATTATTTACCCGAGGGAAAAACCTTCATTTCTGTTGGTCCACTCTCCAATATTTGTGAAACATTTTCATTTTTCTTCTTGTCTGGAAGCAAACGATCACCACTCTTTGGTCTAGCTGATTTTGGTCTTGCCAAACCAGCACTAGTGATTCGTGCATCTGAAAATGTTGGTTGTATTTCCAGATTTTCTTTTAGTACTTGATCAGATGTTTCTTTTTGTTCTACACTGTCATCCCGTAGCGCTTCATTATCAATGTTTGGGGGTCTGCTATTTGTTTCATCATCATTTACTTCTGATTGTATGGTGTTAGTAATTTCTTTAGCAACATTGTTGTCTGTCTGAAGAACTTTTCCACTGTCCTCTTTTGGAGAGGAACTTTTTTTTTTAAGTTTTATACTCTTATTTGGTTTATCTTTGTTTGAAGTTCTTGACGAATCCTTGGTTCTGTCTATTGATTTTGGCGTTTCATTACTGCTAACCTTCTTGCTTTTATTTATGCTATTATCTTTATTTTTTTTATCTTTATTTTTTGTTTTATCTTTTTCGATCTGTAATGATTTTTTGACTGGGTTTTCTTTGGCAAGTTTTCCGGAATTGACTTTAAAAACATATTCTGTCGTATCAATTTTCATATCTATACATTTTGCTATAGTTTGTAAAAATATATTCGTTTCTGTTGGTTCTAAACCAGCTACAATTTTGCTTGGTCGCACTTTTAGGTCAGTTTTAGAAAGATGTTCTAGAAATGAAACAGGGTAATAAACGTAATAATAAGGTTTGTAAGTTTGTAATCGAATTCTATATATATATATATATATATATATATATATATATATATATATATATATATATATATATATAGTTCTAAACCAGCTACAATTTTGCTTGGTAATATAACTTTTATATATCAGTTTTAGAAATATGTTCTATAAATGAAACATATATATAATAAACGTAATAATAAGTATTTGTAAGTTTGTAATCGAATTCTATATATATATATATATATATATATATATATATATATATATATATATATATATATATATAATATATATATATATATATATATATATATATATATATATATATATATATATATATATATATATATATATATATATATATATATATATATATATATATATATATATATATATATATATATATATATATATATATATATACTTACTAACAGCTTCAATCAGTTTTGTTAAAAAAACTACTTTGGCCTCTTTATCTTTCACTTTTTCGTAATTCAGTTCATTCTCTGTGAATAAACCGTTTAAAAAACCGGTATCGCGAATTACTGCTTTAATAATATCGTGCAGAAACCTAAAAGGAGGTTTAGATAGTAATTTTTCAGTTAAAACAGGTTTTTTCACGTATTTTCCCATTGACTTTTGTGTTTTTGTAATAATTTCTACGTTTACTTCTGACATCTTTTAAATATTTAGAAAATTGATGAAATATTGTTGACATTTTTCGTTGCTATGACAACGGCCCTACATTGTACTTAGTTCAGAGATATGGAGAAATGTCTGTTCAGTCTGTTCTTTATATCTCTGATTTAGCTTTCTCTCCTAAAATGGTGATCTATGGTACTCTTCTTCTCTCCTATTTAACGACCTTAAGGTACTAGGACCATCTGGCCGACTTCTTCTTTCTGTTTTTGCCAACCCAAGCTGCTTGAGTATAATCTATAGCCACTTGTGTTACTGCGTTTGGGTATACGCATGCGCATTTATATGTATGCCCCTTTTAGGTAGACTGTCCGCCATATTGAGTGTTAAATCAGTTGTCGTACTTCAGGGGCGTTTATCGTAAGTGCAAAATAATAGATTAAAGATAAAGATTATTTATACCCATTTTACGTTGAAGAACTTATTTTTACCCATTTTACGTTGAATGTCTGCATTTGAGTAGTATTTTAATTTTTGACATGTATTTTAGGAATATATAGAAGAGAAAATATTAATCAGACTTTTGGATGTTATGCTTTCAGTATTACAGGTTTGCAATAGGAGTCACCCACCATTTAGGGGCAAAATTTCTATAATCATACAAAAATTCCCGCCCTGACCTGTTTATTTACATATTTTAAACTTGTTTATCTTTTTTAAATAATTTTTACAGCTCTGATGGTTTTGCTATCGCATTTTAACGAAAATAATGGAGGTGAAACAGGAACGCAATGATGAAGAGGTGGTTAAAATAGAACCAGGAGAACCTGAAAGCGTTGTTGTTAATCCGCCGTCTGATTATGAAATTTTAAGACCAGTTCCGGACTCGGATACTCCCGTATTCGTAAAGAATTTCACAAAAAATAGTGATGGGACTATCGAAATTACATCTGAAGAAGGTGTAGGATACACATACATAATTGAGTATGTATTATGTCCTTTTTTCCTTAGCAGTTATCTTACTCCTTTTGTATTTTTAGAAATCCTGAAGACTTTGAGGGAACAGAATTTGAGCTAGGCGATGGCGAACACTATATAATTGAAGAATATCATGGTGATTATGATGAGGCTGCTGAGGATGGAGAATATGAAACTGTTTATATTCAACATGTTGAAGATTCTCAAGGTTTGCATTTTATTATGTTAAATTTGAAGTCATTTTAATTCCTGTTAAATTTCTACAATGATTCACATAAACTAATTTCTACATATAGATCGAAAATAATATCAACCAAAAGAATAATTCTTTTATTTCTTGTATCTTTAGGGCCAGTTGCATGGGATATTTAGGGGATACTTAAATAAGTGTTGACATACCAGTAAAACTGGCGCGTTTTTCTATTTGTAAACAAATGGGCCGTTTTCAGCATCTGTACATTTTGTAAATTTGTTACTTAAAAAAAATCTAAAATGTCCTGTTGGTATATTAATAAATAAGATCTAAATTATAAGAAAATGCATTTTCTACGAAAACTTGAAGAAATAGGTAAAAAGTGGCATAAAACAATTTGATAGAAAATTAAATTGTGCATCTGATTCACATAAAATACACAGGGTATTCCTTCCAAATTAAACAAGTTATTGCCGTTTAAAGCTAGTAATTTGAAATAAATTTTTAGACACTCTGTATAATGTGTTATTTCTGTAAGTATTATTTTTATTATTGCAAAACAAAATTTAGGCCTAGAGAAATGAAGCATTAAAATTCGAAATCACATTCTTACAAAATCGTTAATGTTTCATAAAGGGTAAGATTAAAGTGCTGTAAACCTTAATCAAATTTATCTTTATTATAATTGTACAAACTAAAAACGTAATAATATACAGGGCGTTCCATTTAAAAAATATCAACTTTGATATTTTTATTTATTTGGGACACCGTATCGGGTGTCCATTTGTAAATAATTTTATATTATAGCTTTAGAAGTCCTACAACGATCCCATCACTCACAATTTCCAAAAATCTAATTATTTGGTTACAATGCTCCGTGTCGAATAGCCTGAACAACCCTTTATATTAGCCAATCTTGAATAAAATTTTAAGAAGTACTTTAATTAACGTTTTTTTAATTTATTTTAGTTAACTTTAGCAAAGTCCGTGCAACAGAGCCACTAGGCCTAACTTCACAATGTTAAAGCACGGCATATGTTAAAGGCTGTGGCTCACTAGAGAGGAGCGCGCCGGGGCGCACGATAGCGCGGCGAAAAAAAATCATTTAAATCATTTTCATTGCCGACCGCTGCATTTCCGCCAAGTGAGCGCGCTCCCATTTAAAACTATGTATTATAAAAATTCCTTTTCGCCGCGCTGCCTTGCGCTCCGGCGCGCTTCCGTCTAGTGAGCGACAGCCTTAATAGGTATTTCACGCGAAAACATTCAAACTTGTTAGTTTGAATGTGACGGGATGAAAGTAGAAACAGTGTTCAGATTTCTTTTGGATTACCTTAATCATTGGCATCCAAGACTATCCCCATATAATTTTACTTTTAAAATGACAGCGATCTTTATTTCCATGCTATGTCTGATACCGTTTTCTTCAATCTATGGTAAAATGCTGTAAAATGTATTTGGTTTCATTCTATCAATTTTAGAGGAAACAACTGAAGTTTATGCTATAGCACAAGAAGATCTAATAGAGGAGCATGTAAGTGAGACAACACCAGAAGAATATAATGATCATGATGCAGATGTTCATGACATCAAACCAGTTGTAAACGATGAAGGTAATGATAAAAATGATAGTGAGCAGGAAGAACAGTCCCCTGCAGACAATGAAAATGTTGATGAAAATCTATTTGTTACTGAGTCTGAGGAACAGGAAACAGTTGACCCCCTTGAGCCAATGGAAGTTGATGATAAACATGATGAAAATGATCCTGATTGGACAGAGGGCAAAAAAAGTGAAAAGGATAATATAGCACTAATGTATGAGTGTAGAATGTGTGCAAAAGCTTTTAAGACACCTTCGGTATGTATTAATAGTGTTTGAAGATTAAGAATATTGATAAATATATTATAGGGTGTGAAAAGACATATTACAGTTGTCCATTGGAGGAATGAAGACAATGATACAGAAAATAGTGATGCACTAGCGTTTTCATTGTGTCCGTGTTGTGGCGAACCTTCAGATTCTGCACATACTGTAAGTTTACTAATTTATTTTGATTATTTTAAATTATGTAATATGTTTTGCAGTTAGGCGACATCCAGTGTAAGCAATGTGATAAGCTCTTCCTTCAAGAGACTTCTCTAGAAAGACATATAAGTATTGACCATCCAACGGGAGACGCTTTTGAATGCTATGATTGCAAAAAAAGCTTTAAAAGTATATTAATATAGGTATTTTTTTAGCTTCTCTTTTGATATTAATATATTTTTTAGGTAGAGAATTGTTAATTGATCACATGCGTGTACATCCATTTAAGGGTGTCAAATGTGAGGGTTGCAATAGAGAATTTACTAGAAAATTTCACTTGGATCGTCATATAATGCAGACAGGCTGTACAGGCGTTCCCAAATCTGTCTATGAATGCAGGGTAAGTAATTTTGATATAAAACATAATTTTTTAATACATTTATTTTCCTAGGTTTGCAAGAGAAATTTTACCCGCAAAGATAACTTGGCTGAGCATCTGAAAGTGCATGCCGGCATCCGAATTAAAAAAAAGAAAAAAAAATACATTTGTGAATTTTGCACGAAGGAGTTTAGTAGTGCGGCCTTGCTTAATATTCACGTTAGAACTCATACAGGTAATAAATGCGTTAAGCAATAAAATGAAAATGTTTTTACTATTTACGGCTTCGTTAATTAAATTTTGTTGATTATTTCTAGGGGAAAGGCCATATGGCTGCGACCTATGCGACCGCTGGTTTCCATCTAGCGGTGCCATGAAGAAGCATCGAAGAATGCACACAGGAGAAAGACCGTATACTTGTGAACAGGTAAAAAAGAAAAAAAAATTGTTTGTTATAACTACTTGGTGAGTTATCGATAAGGTTAATTACTGTAAACCAGGGTAACTTGGGTAACAATTTTTAGGGTTTTTCGTTCATACATTCCTTGTTATAAGAAATATTTAAACCTAAGCAGTGCCATTTAACATCTTTTTTTCCTACATTTTGTTAGGACACAGCTATATACAGGGTGGTCCGAACTGTATTCCGGAAACTTCGGCAGCATATTCTGCAGATAATAATAAGTAAAAAAGTTCGTATAAATGTATGTCCTAAAATGCTTAATTTTAGAGTATGTATAATTTTAGAGATACAGGGTGTAGAGTTTCATTTTTATTTCGATTTTTTCTAAATAATTTCTAAAGTAACGTCAATATTTGGATGAGAATTGGTGTCTGGGAGTTTTTTGACATGAGAAATTTGATTTTGGTGCCAATATGACTCCTACTAGTAGAGGCCGCCACCTACATGTGTTTTAACTGTTTTGAAGGGTAATAACTTTTTGTCTGTACCTGTATAAAACTACCGAGCGAAAAAATATACATCTCTGTGACTTTTTACGTAAAAAATATCTCTTCGTAAAAATCGCTACGAGCAACCGTTTTTAAGATATTTAAAATGTGGAAATAGACAATAAATGTCTTTATTGACGAAAAATAAACACGTTGAGTAGATAGTTATTTCACTGAAATAATAAATTTGGGAAATTTTTATTTTTTTTAAATAATCATAAATTTTTCTGCAAAAAATGATGATAAAACAGTTTCTGTTGAACTTTTGGCACAAAAACATTTCAAATTTATGATTTCAGTCTAATAACTATATAGTCAACATGTTTAATTTATGTCAATGCTGACAGGTATTGATAATTTCGATTCAACATATCTCGAAAACCATTACTCGTAGCGATTTTTACCAAGAGACCTTTTTCACGTAAAAAACGTCGTAAATGTATATTTTTTTACGCAGTAGTTTTATACAGGTACGGACGAAAAGTTATTACTCTTCAAACCAGTTAAAAAGTATGTAGCTGGCGCCCTCTACTAGTAGGAGTCATATTGACATCAAAATCAAATTTCTCATGTCAAAAAACTTCCAGACACCAATTTTCATCCAAATAATGACGTTACTTCAGAAATTATTTGGAAAAAATCGAAATAAAAATGAAACTTCTACATCCTGTATCTCTGAAACTAAGAATTTTAGGGCATACATTTATAGGAACTTTTTTACTTACTTTTATCTGCGGAATATGCTGCCGAAGTTTACAAGTTTTTTTTTACAGTTCGGACCACCCTGTATAAATAAAGCAAAAAAAAACGTTTGAGAAAATATATTTTCGTAATATTAGGGCAGCAGATGTATGTTTCTTTTAAAACATTGAATAAGAGCTTGAACACACTGACGACCAGGTCGCACCTGCCAGGCCGCTGCTACCTCTAAAACCATTAAATCAAATGATACAGCGCACACTAATGTTCTGGCCGTCCGTTGGTCGTTGCGACCAGTAGACTGCATTAAAATATTATTTTCTGCCGCTTGTTGCCGGTTTTCTTCCAAATTAATAATTTTTCAGATGAAATCCCTCAAATTCAACGCACAATATTTTATTTTCTATAACATGGTGTTTCTATATAAGGTGTTTTAGGGTAGTGTTTACTTAGTTAGCACACGTGCAGAAAATCCAAAGAAATAGTATACAGACTGGATAAAAGGGAAACTTAAATCTAGTCCCTTTTTTTATCAAGGGTAAAAATTCAAAACATTTTATATGACATACTCTATTTATGATTACACCATGACACAGAATATCTCCCTTTTTGTCGGTTGCGCGTACACAATACTTTTTGTTCGGCCTATTTGTTCTGCTTGTTCGTGCGCGCTCGGTTCGTTCGGGCTAAAATGCTCAAGTCTGGACGCACCTTTACGAACAATACTGTTTTTGCCCTTTATTGATATAATGCTGAAAATCTCACGAGTTACATGTCTCACTCTACACATATTAAATTACATAGCCGTAGGATGTAGAATATTCTGTTATGAAACGACAGATGGAATAGCAGGCATCGCGGATTTGAAAAACATGGAACTAACATCGTTATCGTGTAGTCGGGGTTGGAGATTTTACTTACTCCATTTACCACACCAGTATTTATTAACGAAAAATCCAAGAATATTTTAAATGTATTATTTAATATTAGAACATTTAATAAGCTCATGAATAGCAACTTCGCTTTTTAGTTAACTCCGATATTTTAACATTTCTGAAACTTAATTCTTTCTGAAACAATATTTTCTAATTGGTAAAACATAAAAAATCCTTAGATCTCACAACTCTGTTGAAACTGGTCGTTTATCTGGCCGCAACTATAAACGCAATATATTCGGCCAGTCAGTGAGTTCAAGCTCTAAGAAGACAAGATTTTTTTACTAAAGAATAACAAATATAGATAGGAAATAGATTTCACAGATTCTAATGATTCCCATCATATGAAATAATGAATATCCATAATAAAAATAACACAATATTTTTCTTAGATAGGTACAACGAAAGTTTTTATTAACGAACTATTTATTGTCTAAAATATTGCAGCAAAAAAATGTATTATTCTTAAATAAAAAGGCCAATGTATGTGCACTCTAATTTTGGAGATGCAATAACTCCATCAAAAATATCCTTGTTTCCTCTTTTAATCTCCTGTAATTCCGTGATCTGGGTAAACGCCTATATTTAGCGGACATATTTGTTTTCTCAAAAAAACATCCTGTTACTGACATTATGTGTGTCTTTGCTTAGCACTAGCGTTAATAATTCAAATTCACACATACAATAGACTAAATAACTGCCTTAAAAAGAACACTTTAATTACCATGTCCAACATTAGTACAAAATGATATTCAGGCTGGGATACATACTAAACGATTTGTAGGGCAACTTTGAGACAGTACCAAAATTGGCCTGTAAAGATAAAATTTTGTCTAGAAGCAAATTCTTTCCCAGTGTCATTTAACATTTTTTACGTAAAATATGAGGGGAATAACAGTGTTTTAAGATATACTAAATTTACAGTTGTGTATACAAAGTATAAGAACTCGTAAAATGCATCTATTTGTAACTGACTTTTTGAAATGTTAATAAACATGCAGTGTTCAAATGCAGCATGGCCAGATTGGGTTATTTAAGTAAAGATAATGTTTATGGCAATTTTTTAATTAATGATAATTAAAATAATTTTTTTCTCTTTTTTGCCTCGCAGTGTGGCAAAAAGTTTTCTGCTAAAGAAACACTAAACAGACATTGGAAAGTCCATACAGGTGAAAAACCTCACCAGTGCAAGTATTGTGGAAAGGTGAGATAATTGTCACAAATTACCTATAACAGATGCGAAAGAACACCGAATTACGCGTTCAGGTTTCTGTGACCTTCAGAAAGAGTTCATAGACAATCCGCATCAATGTATAGTTTGGGTTATTATTTGTTTGGGTGAAAATAATCTGCACCAATATGTTATCGAGGCATACAAAAAGGTCCACAGACTTCGAGACATACGAAAAATCAAGTCCATTTAGCGTGTGTCGCAATTTTCACACCTTAAAAAAATAGTTTTTTATAGCTATAGCAACTGCAGCGACTATGAAAAAAGCTGTGTGATTTTTATAGAAAATAAGGGCACCTGTAATTCATTTGAGAATGTTATAAATCGCTAAAAGAGGTTTCAAATCTCTTGGATTTCTATTAATGTTAAATAAACTTTATTAAAAATCGAACTAAAATTGTTAGTATCATTAAAAACAATTCAAATTCAAAAATTGTATCAGTCAAATTCCCTCATTTAAGGTGAATATTAAAGTAAATATAAATACAGCTCATTCTAAGGGTACGAACATAGTGGAGGCAGGTTTCTGCTTTCCGGCAACCAGCGCCGTCTCTGGGGACCTATTCTTGACCACTCGCATCTTCAAATATCGCTCGCATCTCGCATCTCCTAAAAAGCCATATAACAATACACAGATGCGTAACTTTGCGTATATGCATCACGTGTATTGTATATGGCTATTTCGGAGATGCGAGAAGGATTCGGAAGTAGATAATTAAAAGGAAATTTACCTGATTAACTAACCTAACCTAACCAAACCAAACCATATTCAAACGCCGCGCCCGCCTCGCCGGGGCCGCACATAGATGTATTTGGTCTATAAACCTGGCCAAAAGTAATATTTTTTTATTTTCATTTTTTATCTTAACTGAACACAAATCTATAAATACTAAATGTAAGCACGTTTATTAGTTATTAGCTTTTTTAAGTCGTAAGTTGACTATCAAATAAATAATACATTTCAGTTAAAAGTATGAATTAACTTGAGTGTATTCTGAAGATTATAAAAATAGTGGAATTGTTTGTAGTGCTTTCTTTGTGCAAATTGTTCATAATAACTGTCATGATGGAAACAGAGCCAGCTTTGTTTGTTGGCTCTGTTCTGTTTTATGCCATATTTTTATTTTGAAACGTTTCCTTCTATTCTATTTTTTTATAATGTTTTATATTTAAAAAATCAGTGGCATTTTTATAAGGTGTAAGACTATTCGGCAATATTCCGCATGGAAATTAGTATCCGTTCAATGCTTAAAGTCTCCAGCATTGGAATATGCACAAAAATCTTGCCAATATTTGCCACTGCCAAAAAAAACATTGATTTAAATAGATTCTTAAAGGAAACAGTCTTTACCCTATTAACACCCATCCTCGCTCAAATATCGTCTATAATATACAAATTACTTTCTTGTTCTAGCATCCTCATCCAATTGCTTGGTTTTGCACAGAATGATCGGTGGAAAGGGTTTCAGAGTAGAGGAAAAAATATTGTGTAGGAAAAACAAAATGGGGTTCCATATTAGCAACCTCTCCTCTAATTAATAATTAATATTACTAGCAAAAAAGCAAAAAAATCATAAAACATAATTTTGGCCAACTTTTAGTTCTTAATACTCTCTGTGCGCCGTCGGCGCGTGCAAAAGCAGAAATAAATAAATTTTCGTTCCGATAAAAGCGAGAACGCCGATGAACGCTGGTTGACGGTGCCTGCCTGCTTTCACTGTGAACTAGCCGATTTGATAACACGCTTTAATTTTTCAAGGTTATAAGCGCGAGGCGGCGCGGCGCGGCGTTACTATTTAACCACATACAGGGTGTCCCAGAAATAAGTGCAAGTATTTTAAATTAACTGGTAGTATAGTTCAACCCCAGAAACACGCCTATGAGGTTTTTCTAAATAATTTTTTTTTTGAAAATTCGAATTTTTGAAAATATTTTTGGAATTTTTTTACATTTTTTTTTAGTTTTTATTTAAAAAAAATAGTTTCTTGATAATATGGCAACATAGGTAGTAGATTAAATTTACAAGAAAGAAAATCCAGAAAAGATCCAGTGGTTCTCAAACAAATCTCGAAGTATTGGAAAGAATGTGTAAGGACTAAGAACTATTGACTGTAATAAAACGACGGAAAGCAGCATATTTTGGTCATATTTTTCGAAATAACAAATATAGTTTCCTACAGCTGATCGTTGAGGGAAAGATTGAAGGACGACGAGGCATCGGGCGTAAACGGTTTTCCTGGTTGCGGAATTTGCGCCAGTGGTTTAATATAGGAGAGGCCAGTGCAATTATCCGTTTGGCTCAAGACAGGGAGGAATTCCAATTGATGGTCGCCAACCTCCGATGAGGAGAAGGCACATGAAGAAGAAGGTTCTCAAAATTTTAGCAAAGTAAAATAACTCCATTATTTTGGACTTATTTGAAAAACGATAAAGAGAAAATATGTTTCTTTTATCGAGATCTACCACCCTTTAAAATACTTGCACTTATTTCTGGGATACCCTGTTTATAACAATACACGTGATGCGTATACGCAAAGTTGCGAACGATGTCAAGAATAGGTGCCCAGATTGGCGCTGACTACCAGTAAGCGGCAAACCTGCTTGCACTGTGTTCGCACACTAAGCTCTACTTATCTTTAAGAAAAATTTAAATCATTGTTGCAATTGGGCCTTAATGCCATTTCGAATGAACAATAGTATTAATAATGTACATTATAATAATAATAAATTTTATATCATAGTGTGTATTAAAACTACTAAAACACTTTTAAATTGGTATTATATTAACAACTTTTGTTTTTAATCCAAAAAAGTTACCAATTTTCTCAATCAAAATATTTGTGGTCCTGAAAAGGACCTTCGTTTTCCCATGCTCGTCAAGGTAGGTAATGGGTAAACGGTAAAAAAACAGGATAATGAAATTTAAAAAATTACAAAAATTGTTCAAAAGTGCCTCCCTCTTGCATTAAACAATAACCCAAACGATTATAAAATCCCCTCCTCACATTGGATAACATATCAGGGGTGACAGTGTCAAAGGCATTAAATATTTTCTGCCTTAACTGATACAAGTTTTGAATTTCTTCATGGCCGTAAATTTTAGATTTTATGTACCCCCATAAAAAGAAATCATTCACCGAGAAGTCAGGTGAAATTAAACGTCAGTCTAAACAAAACTGTCATTTTTGAAAACTTGTCAAAATTTGGACACACGCTAAATGGACTTGATTTTCCTATGTCTCGAAGTCTGTGGACTTTTCTGTAAAATCTCACAGTAATTTAATAGATTGCTCGTCATATTATATCAGCTCGTAGGAGATTAGGAAAAAAAAGATATTTATAGTATAAAAAATTAATTTATTTAACAAAATTTAATTAAAGATGTGAGTTAAAAAATATATATAGAAAATAGTTACATTTCTATTGCTTCTATCGGACTTTTTTCGATTATATAAATCTTTATTTTTTGTAAACTTTAATGCATAAAATATTTTCAATCTAATAAATAATTTAATGGGTGGTCAAATTCTATAGTTTTCATTATATCAAACAGCCTCTGAATGTTTTCTTCAGTGCAAAACTCATCAAAATTTAATATAAATAATTTTTCCAGCCTGTAAATAAAATGAACAAATTTTTCCACTTTCATGATCAAAGGCTTTTAAATGGGTAAATAATTTCGAGTTATCCAGAGATTCGGATTTTTTGCAAATTTTAGACAAATATCACATTGATATATTTGAAGACCCTTTTTAATGATGTAGTCAAACATAATTAAAGGCATTTTGAGTTGAAAACATTTCTCAGAGGCTGTTTGATATAATGAAAACTATAAAATTTGACCACCCATGTGAGAAATTTCCTGTTATTTACATCATTAAATGATTTATTATATTGAAAATATTTGATGTATTAAAGTTTACAAATAAAGATTTATACAGTCGAAAAAAGTCCGATAGAACCAATAGAAAGGTAACTATTTTGTCACATTTTTAATTAAATTTTGTTAAATAAATTAATTTTTTATACTATAAATATCTTTTTTTTTTCTTATAAATAAACACATTTGCATCCCATTTTAAATAAGATATACAAATTACCAAAACTTAGAAATAACAGTTCAAAAGTTCAACAAAAATCCTACACGCGTTTTTAAAAAGAAACATATAACCACGCACTATGTCATTCCAGCAAGCGAATACGACACAGCATAGGTTTCTGGACTAAACGACTGGTGTATTTACACCACTCAATAGGCGTGTCGGGTTTGCCGAGCGGTTTCCGATGCAGTCGCTTTCTTTCGCATCTGTTATAGGTAATTTGTGTCATTGTTCCCAAATTATTGGATTGTCGAATTTACCTTGTTATTATAGGCGTTTATTCAAGCTGCGCAACTGCGAGCTCACGTCTTCCATCACACTGGAGAGACCGCTTATACTTGTCCCCATTGCAACAGAGCTTTTACGAGGAATTTGAGGCTTACAACTCATATCAAGTATATGCATGAAGGGGCAGAGCCTTTACCTTGCGAGGAACCATCTTGCACCAAGACATTTTTTAGGAAAGAAGATGTACAAAGGCATATGTTGACACATTCAGGAAATAAACGTAAGGTTTTTGTGTTCTTAAATAATATGTTCAATTTATTTAGCGGCTGCAGCTACCAAGGCTAACAAAATATTTAGTGTTATAGGATTCGGTGTATTTTTAGATGCTTTTACTTGTTATTCTATTGAACTTTGTTTTAGCTTTTGAGTGTAAGATATGTCAGAAAAAGTTTGTGGTAAAGTCATCTTTGAGGATCCATGAAATGACTCATCGGACTGAGCCTCCAGTCAGCTGTGAAGTATGCAGAAGAGCTTTTATAAGACAGGACTGCCTTATGAGGCACATGAGATCTAAACACAGGTGAGTCACTTGATATTTTTTATTTTCAGTTTAGGACAACCAAATGTATTTTTGTCTTTTAGGGATGTTCTGGAAGACATTTTAGCAAATGCAGAAAAAAAGAGACTACAACAGACACTTCTGAGGGTTGTAGGAACTAATAAACTCCAAAATTCTGTCCAAGATACTATAGTTTGGACTGAACTCACATTAACAGGTATATTTTTCCATCATTTGTATATTTCTCGATAATAAAAATCAAATTTTAGAATCCATAAAGGAATTGCTTACTCTATTGGTTGATGAGGACTGTTTGAACGAATTTGGCCATCCAGAGGCTCCAGTGGATAAAGTTCTGGACTCTGTGATCAGAAGATGTGGCCATATGCCTGCCTCAGATGAAGATTTTGATTATATAGGAAAACTGAGAGAAAATGCTAAATTATTGTTCACTGTAAGTGTTAGAATTAATATGTAAGAAAGTAAATTTTGAAGTATAATTAGTGGCAAAGTTAAAAGTTCGTTAACTTTTTATACTAATTGAAAATTACTACCACTAATTTCGAGGTTCTGAATGAAGCTATAGAATTTTTTCTTTTTGTTCATATAAATATTAATTAATGTCACGTTGCCTAACAAATGCTATATTTTAAATATATCTTACAGAACATAGGACACTCATAATTACTATGGCCACGGCTACCGCGGCTATAATTATCCTACGTTCTCAAAACTAGAACGTCAATGGTTTTTATCCTGTTTTTATAGACATATTATGTGTTCTGAAATAGTTGCATTTAGATATTTTAAATATTTTTTTCTTTGTTCTTTATGTTTTTTTGCTTCCGACGACGCGCGACGGGAAGAGAGATACTTCCCGAAATGTTAAGTTCATTCACCCTACTCCCTACCTACACATCTCTGCATTGTAGCATTGTACACAAGAGGTGTTTTGTTGAACTTTTATTATATTTGTATATAAGATGATTTTTTATAAAACTATTTTTCTTTTAGGTGGTTATTGACGACGATGGTGTCAAAGAACTGCTAGACAACTTGACAGTAGACGAAGTCATAGTTTATGTATTGAAATTGGCCAGAAAACAAGCAAATGAGCGAGATGAATATAAGCAAAAAGTAGGTGGTGGTGATCTGACCAAATTCGAAGATGGAGAGAGTGAGGCAATTGAAGAAAATACTGATAGAATTGATGAAGAATATGAAGTTGATAACCCAGGAAATGAAGAGGAAGAAGTGGATTAGTTTTTACAAAATAAACTGTTATTTAAATATTTTTTAGCCTTTTTGGATTTTGTAAATAGACATGTTTAAATAAAGTAAGAATAAAATGTATTTTTTGTAGACCATACTCTTTTCAATTAGTAAGCTTGAATGTGCCTGCTTTTCAAGAGATATTACATGGAAAATAAATTAAGTTATTAAAAAAATATTTTGAAAGTATTATTATTGAAGAAAATGAGTGTAAAAAAGGTAATAAAAATATAAATATGGTGTCAGGGAAACTCTAACCCATGTCTTCTTCAACTGTATTTGGTGCAGTTTGATTGGAGCTACCTCCTATCAAGCCTCTAATAGATAAATCATATACTACTTCTTCAATTTTCTTCACATCATACTTCAAAACATCAAATCTTTTTCTTAAAGAATCATTTTTCAGGTTGAGTAGTCTGAAGCCAGCATTAAGTTCAGCTACAAACTTTGATATTTGTAGAGGCCTGGAATAGTCACCTAAAGTGACTGAATTTATAGCAAATCTAGCCTAAAACACCGTAAAAATATTTAAATTTTTAAATTATATGTATTAATAGAATTTACCAATTCTGAAGCTAAATTTAATAAGCCCATGAGGTAGTCTTCTAAGTCAAGGTGTATATTTTCTTTTTCATGAACTGAAATTTAAATAAAACTAATCACTAATCCATTCAAGCATGGAATATATAGCTACAAAACAGAAATCTCTTTATATGTGTAAAACTTAGGAATGAAAAGGAGACAGGCTTTAAAAAGCCCATCTCCAACTAGATATTTTGATGTAGTAGTTTCAGTACTATACAGGGTGTTTCAAAAAACATGTGCTTAAAACATACTAAACTTGGGAATGAAAAACCAAGCGAATTTAAAATCTACAGGAATTACAGGGATAAATGTGCCTTCCAATAATAATTATTGATTAATAGATACTTTTCAAGTAGTACACCACCATACATTCTTTTCAAATAGTCAATGTAAATAAATAATCATTACCTACTTGATTTATTTTGAAATAAATAGTTTTTCATGTGAGCAAAAGCAACTTTTTCATTTCCCAGTTAGGATGACAATTTCCTAACTCCATCCTACCCCCCCTTTTTTATCCGCCTCTGGTCATTTGGCTATCTGATATTATGATTCTATTCTGTAGGTATATATTTTGGGATATATGAACTAAGAAAGTTTTTTACCTCCAAGAATTTGTGCAGTTGTTATTCTATCTATTAAAACCCCTTTTTCCAAAAAGACAATGAGACTGGCCAAAAAACAAAGTCTTTGAGTTCCATACCTCCAGTGATCATTGTACCTATAATACTGTCCAGCTGGAACAACTTTATTCAGTGCTTCATATCCTTTACGAACTTCTTCAAATCGTTCTCTGGACCGTAATAAGGCAACATGAACTAAAATCAATAATAATTATTGTAAAACTATATTATACTTGATTTTGATATTTATTACTTTTTTCACAATCTACTTCACTGTGGATAATCTGTAATGTTATTACAATCTCCCTAAGAGGTTTTTCAATCTCCTTCATTATAGTTCTAATTTCCTGTAATGATATTGATGTAATAAAATAAACTTATTGTATATTACTAGTAACCTCTCTAAGATCCTGCTCAGCATTAATATAATCTTGAAATGGACTGAATATTTCAGTTATAAGTTTGTTAGCTTCAGCCATCGTTCCTTTTACCACAATTTTCTTTAAAATATTAAAAATACAGACATTCAAAGAAAGAAGCACTTGCACATTAAAATATGATATAGATATCTTTAATGACAATAGACTTTGGTATAAAGTTTTTTACAAAGCAATAAATTTAAAAAAAAATATAGGAATATAAATATACAACAGAGAACAACAAATAAAAACTATAAATACGACACAGAATCAAAACATCCAGATTTTCAGGTAGAGACAATTTTTAGGTTATCTTGTTTTGTTATCTTCATTTTTTATTCTTCATTTTATAAGAAAATGTTAATATATGTATATCTGGTTGCCTGATAGACACCACGATTTCTGAATTTTTTGGTCGAATAATAGCCATTTGGGACAGAAAAAATCGCGGTAAATTAGTTGATTTCAAATCGTCGCACTAGAGGTTTATAGTTAACCTCAACTGGGCTATGTCCAATATCAAAAACAAAGACAAAGCCTAGGAGAGGCTAGCTTTCAAGCCTTGTTTTATCAATAATCAACAAATTCAACAACATATTCAACTTTGAAAAGAAACAATTTTGGTTGCAAATGTTTACTTACTTATTTGTTGAGTATGGATGAACTTTTCCTGTTGAATTGACACTGGTAGGACTGGAAATGTATATCAAAGTGAGCCACATCCATCCAGTACCCTTTTGAGTTAATATATCGGTGTTTGTATTAATACATATTAATAATAGGCCTGTGCGTTTTACTTCCTACTTTGCCACATCCGTCTAGTCAATTTGTTTAATTGTCTGACATGTGCGAAAGTACTTGGCACTAAAGGACCGGAATATTTCAACGAATATAGCTATATAGTAAAAATGCATTTTGAGAAATTGTAGATGACTTCTTGGTTCAGTTCTTGGCGAATTCGAAGGTCATCAGTGAGACCTTGCTTGGCGCCAGTCCCATGGACGGCGCCTACATTTTTTTTGCAGAATTATATCACTTAAATAATATTCATATACTTACAGGGTATTTCAACACGAAACTATTTCATATTTTTATCCCATTTCCAATTTATTTTAATTCTATCTAACAATTTTATTTTGAAGATTTTCAGACTTTTTAATACAGAGAAATATTAAAAAAATAATATAGCTAGGGCTTTTATCTTTTGACATTTTTAATATATACCTATTGCATTTTTATTTTTATCCAGGGTGTCCCAGGCTGAGCGTGCATTAGAAGTTTCTAGCGGACTACAATATCTGGATCGGAGATTTTTTGCACATCATAGTTTCACAACGAGATCTAAAAAGTTAGTTCTCTAAATGAAACGTTTTTAAGTTATTTAAGATTCAGTTTTAAAGCGTGTATTTTTTATTTTATCCAGTAGCCTATCACTTTAAACATCCTGACCATATCAGATTGTGACACTTTGTTATAAAATCAGTATGTCGTATGTAATCGATCGCCATTTCCAAACGAATGTTTCGTCGTTTTTTTCGGTCATACATTATATTATTAATAATATCAACTATTAGGTATTATCACAGGTATTACTAAAGAGTGAAAATACGAAATATTTTATTATAAGTACACTTCATAAAGTTTTAAGCAGCAGTATTATTTATAATATACGATATTCAAATAATTAGTATCTGACAGAAGGAAATAAATTGTCTGATTGTGTGGGTTGTCTGATAAGTGACACTTAATGTCAAAGGAAGCTAGATAAAATCAAAAAAATATATATAATCTTTAAAACTAAATCTTAAATAACTTAAAAACGATTTATTTTAGGTATAGGGATTTGTATAATCAAAAAGTAATAAATTGAGATACTTTTCAACTAGTTAAATAAAAAAAGTGGGTGTCCATTTGAAAAAAATGATTTATGATAGTTATAAAATCGCTCAGTTCCATGACAGCTACGACCAAAATTATATGACATTCGAACAATTTAATTTTTGAAATAGATAGCCACATGTTTTCTCTTTATGTCACAGTGACTGTGGTAATCACCAAATTTTACGTTTAGGCCAAGTTTAGGCTTTACAAATTTTTTTGGTGGGCAATTTTTGTCCTCCAAAAATTTTAAAATATTTTTTTTCTCAAAAACTGTTAATGTTGGGTATAGAGTGTTTGACATCAACATTCATAAAATTTTACAGAGAATTCAAGTATGTAATAAAACATGGGGGCACCCGCTTAAAATAAGAAAGTTGCTGTCAATTTCCCGTATTGCCGGAAGTGCCGCCATATTGAAAAAAAATTAATCGATATATCTCGTTGTGAAACTGATGTGCAAAACATCTCCGATCTAGATATTGTAGGTAGTTCTCTAGAAACTTCTAATGAACGCTCAGCCTGGGACAGTGACAGTACCTAAAATAAGTATTACCAGACATATCATTTGAAATAGCATAATAAACTGCATAATTTTTAATAAGATTTTGTACTGAACGTTTAGTTTGGCAACATTTCTTAATTCGTGTAATAATATCACTGTTTAAGGAAAAGAAATTTTTATTCCCCTTCAACTTCAACCAACGATATCTAATATAACTTATTTTTTTTTGCTACATGCTTCTCAGATACGCCGCTGATGTACCTAGCGATTGGAACCTCTCAACAACACAGTCGTCGATTATTTTAGACAGCACACACACAGACATACACATTCCCACATATCTCTTTCTGCATTCTTGAAAATAAATAAAAAATAGATTAATAAATAAATTAACTGAGGTGACGTCACAAAATTCTACGGTTTGCATTCTATATATACAGGGCGGTCCGTGTTTTTTGTATAATAGTAGGTAGGGTTAATTAAAAATAGTTAATTTTTGGAAAGAAAATCATGTCAACATAAGGGGGTATGTAAGAGGCTAAAAATACATTTTTAGAAATTTCTGAGACTTTATTATTTATCTGAAATTTAAAAAAAAGATATCGATTGTTTTTCATAATAAAAATATAAAAAATTGTATGACATCATCATATTTTGTAAGCTACAATGGCTACAAGATATACAATATTACGTTTCAAATAAAATAAAAGAAAATAATACAGTTGTGTATAAAATTAAAATTAATTTTAATATTTTTGCATCAATAGGAACATTATAAAAAACAAAACAAATTAAAAATTTTTTAGTCATTTTTAGAAGTGTATTACGAAAAACGGCATTACGTCCTACTCTATAATGCCACTGTTATTGATATAAACTATAAGGGGTGAGTTTTAAATAAGTGCATCTATTTTCAGGGGTAGTCTATTTCGACTACAGGAGCCACTCTATGAGGTTGCTTTCGCAAAAAAAGATGTTGTAAATAGTGCATTTTCTTTTAAATTTTCTTGTATATTTTAGAAAACTTTTTAGAACTAACTGCCTGTTTGCTGCAAATTGTCCTACGGTATAATATCTTAAGGATAATAGCATAGTTACGGCTTTATTCTATGGATACGGCACTAAAAGGGATGCAAATACAGAAAAAATCCGGTGCCTTCCAATTTTTTTTAAAAACAAATATTTTTTTTTTGAATCAACTTGTTCAAACTTGAATAACTCGGTTATTTTGGTCTTATTTCAAAAACGGAAAAGAGAAAATTATGTGTCGTTTATCGAAATCTACCAGCCTTGAAAATATTCGTACCCATATTAAATTATTAGAAGTGCACTACTCAGGGGCGCATGTACGGGGGGAGGGGGGATGGGTCTAATTACACCTCCCAGGAAGAAATTATAAATAAGTTGAAATGTTGTATAAAATAAAAGGTTCCACAAAAAATAGAAACTCAATCATAATAGAAAATCCATAACAATCCAAGTTTATTTTTATTTACTGTCACAATACCCTTCATAGCCAATTTAATTTAAATCTAGTAGTATACTTAAATACTGTCACCAGACCTCCCAGGTCCAATCTCTAGATGCGCCACTGGTACTACTAGATGGCAATTTTGTTTCTGATCCACATACACATACACATACACAAAAAACGGCGTCCAGTTGGCTGGGAAATGACGTTCGATCACATTCCCCATATAATTTTGTATAGCCATCGCTGATGTCGTTTTTTTTCGATCATATTATATAAACATATTCGGCATGATCGAAAAAAAAACGGCGTCCAGTTGACTTGGAAATGAATATCGATGACATTCCCCATATAATTTTATATATAAAATGACAGCGATCATAGCCTCGTTTCAGCATCATTTCATAGCCTTCGCTGACGCGGTTTTTAACGATCATACGGTACCTATAAACATACATATCTTCAATCACATTGTACTGTCAATTACATATCCAACTTGAAATCATCTTAATGCGTTTATTAAAATTTGTGAATATTTTTATAGAACTTAGATAAAATAATTAAAAACGAGTATTTTAGAGAAAACTTTGTTATGTAATCTAAAAATATACCGTACGAACGAAAAAAAAAACGGCGTCAGCGATGGCTATGAAATGAAGATCGCCGTTTTTTATTCGATCATACGGTATAAGGTGTCCGATTTAAAAAAATATATATTTACTTAGTTTAAATTAGAACTTGACTAAGTACACTAGAAATTGTTTATAAAATGAATATTTTACCTCAAAAAATAAATAAAAATATAAAGCCTGTTAAAACTGGGCCAAATCAAAAACCAAATATTGTAATATAAAAAAAAATCATTGATCTTTAATTTATTTTTAGAATTCATATTCAAAGGTAACTTGGGTACTTACGCCTATGCTTGTGTTGGGGTTTATCACTACCATACGCGAAGTACTGTAAAATACTGACCAAACTGTCGGTAAACACGACATAATGTGTCCTAAACAAGAAGCGGATCCGCACCAAAGTGACGAAACGGATCTCGGCATGTGTATATGTGTGAGTATGGCGCCAAAATTCGAGATCCGCATGGCGGTTGTACTTGCCGCCCGCAGATACTCAGACCACTTCCGCGTTTTTTTGGTATGTTTACCGGGACTATTCAATAAGTTACACACTTTAATCTTCAATAGATTTTATGAAGTAGTTCTTTGTCAATTCCACTACGACCTTTTCAGATCTAGATTACACACATGGCCAAAATTATTGCATATATCGTTTAAAAATATATGGAAAGGAATTTAAAGAATCTTTTTTTATGCATAGCTTTGATATTCTGTAATAAACATTTTTTTGTTAAAATGGCTATGGTAAACAATGTTTATCGTTCAGACCCAATATTATTACAAATTCTTGCACATTTCGATTTGTGGTCTCTTGGGTTTCAGAAGAAATTTGACCATTGTTTTGGCCTTAAAATGCCTAGAAACATTATTTCACAGTTTAATAGAGTCAGAATAGCAACACTGTCTCAACAGGGCTACCGGCAAGTTGCAGTAGCTGAAATTGTAGGAGTTTAACCAAAACGATGTTTCGCGAATATCAAAAAAATTCAGGGAGACAAACGAGGTTACAGACCGGCCTGGAAGAGGTAGAAAGAGAGTTACTACTGCTGTGCAAGACCGTCAAATATCCCTAATTGCACGACGCAATCCCCTGTTTTCTAGTACTGCTATTAAAAATGAGTTAGTTCGCCTTGAAGGAGTAAATGTTTCAAGAAAGACCATAACAAGAAGACTCCATGACAGGATTACATTTAAGGAGGCCTCTACGTGTTCAGAAGCTGAATTTACAGCACAAAATTACGCGACTACAATGGACTAAGGAGATGAGAGCAAATGGACCTAAATGGAATTTCGTCATGTTTAGTGATAAAACAAGAATATGCCTAGTGTCAGACTCGCGACGAACTTTGGTCTGGAGAGCATCTGGAAGACGAGCACGCTTGAATGCAGCTCAACATTGGTATGGGCAGGTATAATGCACGGAGCTCGAACTCCTCTTGTTTTATTGATGGCACAATGACAGGTGCCTCATATCTTAGAGACGTTTTAGTATAAAACGTCTCTAAGATATGAGTAAACTAACGTAAAGTATTGTGCATCCATTTCGAGGGGCAGTGGAGGATGAATTTGTTTACATGGACGATAATGCTTCTCCCCATCGTACTTTAGCGGTTCGCGAATTTTGTGAGGAAGAGGGTATAACAAAACTGTCGTGGCCATCGATGTCTCCAGATATGAATGTGATCGAGCATGCTTGGGACATGCTAAAACGCGATATTGCCAACAGGAATGATCCCCCCGTACCTTAAATGAATTGAAAATTACTGTGCGCGAAACATGGGAAGCCATTCCTCAACATCTTCTGGACAACTTAATTGAGCATGCCACGTCGTCTTACAGCTTGCATTGAGGCTCGAGGAGGCAATATAGGCTATTAGTTGTGAGAAATAATTAAAATTGTTTTCAATATTTTCTGTTTAAAATGAAATTAATTTTTTTTTGGTTGATTTTCACTCATTATGAAATAAAATTTTAATAACAGCTTAGTTGCACTTAGATTTTTAATTTTATATTAGTTAGTCGTGTAGTAAGCCAATATGTCCAAAAATATAAAAAGAATCATAATAGGTCCAAAATAAAATAAAAATATCGTTATATGCAATAATTTTGGCCATGTGTGTATATTCTCCACTCGTACTCACGTCATAACATCTAATAACTTGGAGACATTGGATGCATTAAAATCAAGCTTTAAGCTTGATTTTCATGCATCTGTTCCTCTCTTAAGCATATACTGCTCCTCTCTTAAGTCCGAGCCCTATTAGCAACACGCCACTTCACGCCACGAAAAGTTGTATATTTTTGCATTTAATTACATGTGTTGCGTACACCACTAGACTCACACCACGCCACGCTATTCCAAGCTATCACACATATGATGTGGGGATTCAAAAGTCTCAGATCTTACCGACGACGCGTGTAAGGCGTGTTGTTCGCATCAATCAATCTACTTTAGTAGTTGATGGAAATATTTTGTCGTGCCAGAGTCATCTACTTGAACAAAATGCAAGAGGAGTAATTAATAGAAAAGGTACGGAATTACGAGTTCATATATAGTATACCTACATTCTGCTCAGTATAGAGAACAGGATAGACATAGGGAGAGATAGGGAGAGATTTAAAACATACAGGTAAATTTATGTAATTTATTCTAAAACTGTTATATATATAAATATAAATTAATATTTAATTTCGCCCCCTTCGAACTATTTCTTGCTGCTAAGAGACACTGCCGTGAGCTTTCCTCTACTTTTTTAAAATTATATCGATTTTAAAAATCGTATTCAAAATTTGAAATTTGGAGCAATGGTGGCACTAATCAAAATAAAGTTAACAAACACCCTCAAGTTATTTAATGGAGGTATGAAAGGCACCATATTTATTACGATTTTTGTTGATTGTGTACACCAAAAATCTTCTTTTTCTTACATTTTGTAACACCAAAGTCGCAGCTGTACATTCTGCTAAAAATTCTTTGTCGCTAAACGAAGTGCTTGTATCAAACATCGTTCTCGACACGTGGCGTGGCGCGTTGGTAATGGGGGTCCGGGCTTTAATCTTTTTATTAAAATGGCAGACCTTGTAAAGAAAAGCAAATGTCATCCTGTAGTGAGTCAGTGAGCTCACTAAAGCTTAATTTTCATGCATCCGTTATCCGACGGTACGATGATACGATATTAATTTTATTGGCTGAATTAAAAGACTTTGATTGGTTAGAAACGGTTTACAAATCGAAGCCTTTAAACTCAACCAATAAAATTAATATCGTATCATCGTATCGTCGGACAACGGGTGCCTGAAAATCAAGCTTAATCTGAGGGGATTACTAGAGGTTAAGTTACTAAGTTATGTGCAGATGTCAATCAGAAGAAGAAACGGTATAATCAAGCTTTAAGCTGGAAGTAAAGATTTCCTTGCAAATTCGAACGAATGGTAACATTCATTAGGTCTGTCCTCGGGTTTACACTGTCTTCGATTTTACATAAAAATGGAGGTTTATGATGTCGATTCCGTCTAGTGTTTAGAAATGAGCTGAGCAGGGTAGATTAAGTTTGGGGGAGCAAGGGATTTGAATTGGTTTCAAACGGGATAGTGATGATAAAACTGTTGGACGGGTGAAGCGGGCAAGCGACAAAAAGACACAATAATTTATTTCGGTAAAAGCGGGTAACAGTAGTTTTAAAACCCATTGAAGCTGGGTGACTGGCGCATTATGGCCACACGCATACAGTTCTTCTATTTTTAATCGCTAGATTACCACGATAAAGCTACAAGCCGGAAGCCGGTGCACTATGGACGTACCCTTTGCTCAGAGTATTCTCCTATGTAATGTTTCTTATACCTCTGAAGTAGTAATAGCAAAGAAAGATTGACAAATGCTCACCATCACTTAACTCCCAACTTAAAGTATAGAATACTACGAAATTAAATGAATTATTTAATATTAAAAAAATCTAGTGTATATTTATAAATAAAACTGAATAATCTGTAACATTTGTACTTGTGAATGAACTGTTTCTAGATTATTTTGTATTACAGCAGCTTAGCAACAACAAAAAATAAAATAATACACATTTAAAATTGATTTTATTATCGACATAGTTACAAAAACGATTTACACTACTACTGTACAGCCATAATAAGTTAAAAATAAATAAATAAATACGAGATTGATACTAAAAGAATTTCAGATTTCTATTGTAATTATTTATTTTAACTTATACAATGTTTTTGTCAGAATCTTATGATGTATCACTAAAGCTTCATTCAGAAACTCGCAATTAGTGGTTTCAATTAGCGTACGAGTTTGTTCCTTTAATTTCAATGTAAGCATTCAGAATGTTAAAATTAGTGGTAGACATTTTCAATTAGTAGAAAAACTTATCAAACTTTAACTTTTCCACTAAATTATACTTCAAAATTTTCGAGAAATGTCATTTTGGCCTTTGATTATTTTCCGTCAAGAGAAATTGTAGTTAGAAATCAAAAGTTGATTGTTTTATAAGCTAAATATTAGGCTTTTTCTGTGGAGACACTAACTGACTAACGCAAGCTGTTGCTAGTATATTCTGTTAATTTTAATTGTGTTCTTTAAATATTGTGAATGATCGTAAACTAAAAAGTATAAAGTGTAATTGAAACCACTAATTGCGAGGTTCTGAATGAAGCTTTACGGTTACCAAGAGCGCACTAGTCTAATATAATATAACATCTTCACACACACAATCCAAGTATGGAAATTTCCACAATATGGCAACCAATCATAAAAAGTACAAGTGGATGGAATGCTGGATGTTTCTGTTCGAGAATTCTTGAGCGAGACATTTTTTTAGGTCTTTAAGCTTGATTTTCATGCATCCGTTGTCCGACGATACGTTGATACGATATTAATTTTATTGGTAGAATTTAAAGACTTTGATTGGTTAGAAAATTAAAGATGAAAATCAAGCTTAGGCGGGCGGCCACTGTGAGCGAAACTAAACTAAGCCAAGCGAAGATAAGATTTTTAAAAATCAGCTCCAATACTTTTAAATGCATCAGCGGTCATTTGAGCGAAACTGAACGAAAACATGTGAACGAGTCAAATCGTAGCGTTTCGCTCATTTTAGTTCGTGGCAGGTTCCAGCGAATTTTTCGCAGCGATTAATTTTATGATAGCAGAGACACAATACGAAAACGCAGCTGGCTGCGAAAATCGTTCCCAGTGGCCGATGAAACTTATTTTCGTTTAGTTACCGTTTCTTTCTATATTCTTAGCTTAGTGGCTTAGTTTAGTTTCGCTCGCAGTGGCCGCCCGCGTTTAAAGCGAGACGGAAAAAATCTACTCAACGCTTCGAGAACTTCGAAATCTACTCAACCCTTCGAAAAGCTTTGAATTTGAATTCAATTTTTTTGTTGATGATTTTCCGTTATTATTTGGTTTTAGTTGAAATGCTATGCTCAAATTAATAAAATTATTGAAAGTAAATTACGATTTGCCTAATCGAAAGATTGTGATGTTATTAACATAACATACGGGGGTGTTTTAAAAAACATGTGCCATCTCTCGTGGGGAGATTAGAGAAGATTCGTGGGAAGATTCTACACATGTAAAATTAAGATTTATTTCTTATATCAACATAGGTCCATTCTGATTTGTTTCGTAGCTATATGGAGTTAAAATCTTTATTTTTTCGATTTATTACAATTTTCTTCCAAGTGTTTTTAGCGATTCGAATGAAATTTTGTGACATTAATGCTTAAAAATTGTCGACAGATTCACCAGGGACGTGCATACGGTTTGTAACTGGATTTTTTTCCATGGAAGTCTAAAATTCTTTTAGTAATAGTACTCTACTCTTAATCACTGTCTACCACATTCAATGAAACAAATAAATTCATATTAATATCCGCATTTCTTTTAAATTTATTTTGTACATTGTTCCTGCTTCATCCTTTGTAGTGGTATCTCAGATATTCGTTTTCTTTTTTCAGTTTTTCATACATATTATAGAGTTCATGCCCCTCGAGGCTTGAGTCTAATCTATCATCCCATCCAAAAGGGGTTATATGACTTGAATGACTAGAATGATGAGATTCTTCACCTAAATAAAAATAATTATATTGTATTCCGTTGTAAAACCAGATTAATCACGTTGTTAAACTAAGGTAAGGATCGGTTCCTGAGAAATATCGGTGAAATGTGGAACTTGTTAAAAAAATAGTAAATATGTCAAATACTGACGTTTTTTAAATTTCGATATTCTTATTATAGAATTTTTATTTCATGTTTGATTAATCTTTTCAATGTTGCAAGCCTTGTAAATGAGCTGTTAAACTCCTATAAGATGCATTAGCGTAACTAGCAATTTATCCTGGGGTGGGCCTGGGGGGGCCTGGGGTTGATCCCAGGGAGGGCCTAGGGCTTTTGTTTTTTTAAAAATGAAAAATAATTTAAAAAAAACACATTTTTTAAATAAAACGTTTACATGAATTTCTCTATCAATAAATTTCATAGACTTGGTTATCAAACCGTGTTCCCGTAGATTACTTAAATACCTACAAATTTTCTAAAAAAAATAAAAATTAGCACATTTTTTGAACACAACAAAATAATATTAACTAAACAAAACTAGAAAACGTCATTTTTATTTTTACTGCATCACAAGCAAATAAAAATTAATACGTAGCCAAGAGTCATAATTCAGTATTTCTCTGGGGGCTGCCCAGCAGTACCTGGGGAAACCCGGCACCCCCAGGCATCCCTATAATTACGCCAATGCTTGTGTGCTGGTTAATTTGGTGACAAGAATGACAAATATTTTCAGGAACCGTGTTACGTAATAATAAAAAATTCAGGCAAAAAATAGAAACGAAACAGAAAGCCATAACCAAGATAATAAACGGAATATAGCTTTGTTATTATATACACTGATTATAGACTTGATGCATTCTCCGCCGGTGCTGCTACCATCGGAGAATACATACCGTAAAAAATCGGTATATACCCATGGTATATACCTGTACATACCAGGGGCGTATAGAGGAATTTATTTTAGGGAGGCCTAAATAAAAAGTAATATAGAATTTGCTTTTTAGGGTACTATTTTTAACCCAAAAGCCTAACATTTAAACCAATTTACAGTTTGTAGGGGGGTCCTGGACCCCAAGGGCATCGGGTAATTTTCATATATTATATCACGAGACCTATAAATTTGATCGATTAAACTATTCGTGCATCAAAATTAACCTGATAATTTTTCATTTAAGCATGTTGTCAATAAAAACAGCATTCGTTTATGTTCATATTTTGGAAGAGGCTTATGGCAAAATATGAATATAAACTCATGCAGTTTTTAGACAACATGCTTTCATGAAAAATTATCGGTAATTTTGATGCACTTGGGTAATTACTTCCGATAATTTCGTCAGTCTATAGTCTAGTATATTTCCCGTCAAATCTGTGATCTGTGCAGTTAAAACTATTAGCTAATTATTCAGCATGTCTCTTCGATGAGATCTTTATCGAACTCGCCACTACACGTTGAGATTTGGACTGAATCGAAAGACTGTACCAGTTCAAATCCCCCAGATATCGTTGCGTGTAGGGCCCTACAGGGCATGCAGATTAATTCGTTGCGTGTAGGGCCTTTTTAACACTTAGGAAATACAATTTGGCATTGACAAAACAATGGGATGATAACTTAAGTTATATTTGCCTGGTTGTGCGGTTACCTGTTCAGATTTAGTTTTAAGAATAAATGAAGTTTTCCTTAAATTACTTTGAATCCCCATATAACACAACACAATCCTATAGATATCTTGAGGATATCCACCAAGGATATAGTAAATATCTTAAGGATATCCAAAAACCAGAGGAGGATATTTATGGGATATCCAGATGGGACAAAAAAAGTCATCTTCAAGACATCCCCAGGCAAGCCTTTTACGATTATTTGGGATATTTATAGGATAATACAGGATGATGTTGGAAGCATTATAGAATATTTTTAGGACATTATATGAGGACTGTTATTTCATAATACTTACTTCATCCTTAGTTTATATTAGTAAAAACGTTCGCGATTTAGTTTTATTTGGCCACATTTTGACGTTATTTATTGGATATTTATATTAACTGCTCTAAAATATACCTACATATTATGTCAATGAATTTTGCGTCAAAATTTAGTTTATTTGTTTGAGTTAAGAGCTTTCAATTTATACTGTACCATCGAAAAAAAAACGGCGTTCAATTAGCTTGAAAATTACGATCGATGACATTCCCCATATAATTTTACATACAAAATAACAGCAATCTTCATTTCCAAACCACCTCTGACGCCGTTATTTTCGATCATATGGTATTATACCAGATTATACTACTCTTTATGGAGTCTAGCAGTTTATGTCTAGCAGCAACAGTTTACATCAAAGTTAGCACACAGGATACAGGTATAATTTCTAACACCACACATTCCAGAAACTCACAATTTAAACACAAAAATAGGATTTCTGTTTGAATAGATCAAACACGAAAATGGGTTTAGGGTAGGGATAAAGAACAAGCGCTTTTCAACAAATTTTCACCTATAATTTTGTCACAAATTTTTCATTGTGAGACCCTGAGTTGGTCGTCGTTTTTCGACATTAGTTGAGGTTAGGATAAAATTTCTGCTAGAACAAGGCTAGAACAATGAGTATAAGAAAAAACTAAGTCAAACTCAATCAGTTTTGTTAGTTTCAGTCATTTTTAAGCCCATTCAATATCGACAAACGACCGAATTCACCTCGAATTTCACTAAATCAAAGAACTGAATAATACACGATGCAAAAACAAACAACTGTCGAGATGGATTGTGGGAAATTTTTTGTGCGGGCGTTTTAAATTCTCTGTATTACTGGGAGTGGCCAAGCTCATAAATATCCAGATTATCCAGAAGATACCAAGAGGATATTTTGTTGCCTTGGCGTAATATATAATATCTATCTGTATGGTTTATTGCATTTTATGTAATATAAAAAGTAGTACATTATTTAGTTTTCCTAAATATCTAGACGATATTGTTAAGATATTTTATTATCATGAGCATGTTTGGATATCTCAGCTGGATGTACATTAGATATACGACATTCTGAGACATCTACATGATTTCAGGATGTCTGGAGGATATCCTATAGATGACTTTATAAGATGATCTTATAATGGGACATTCCGACATTCTATGAATATCCTGCGGATATTGTGTATTATATGGGTCAGATCGTCCAAAATTGGTATGTGTATTCAGCATACGCAGACCTTTAAGAATCCGTTTTAATATTAAGCTGTAAAATCAATAGGGGAGCCAATATTTGGATAGTTCAAAATTTACATGGCGTTTTGCAAATTTGATGGGGTTTCATAAACAACATACTGGGTGCGTTTCAAAAGTGGCGCACCCCTATAACTCTTTTATTTTTTCAGTTAAAAAAATGAGATTTCGTATGTTAGTATATGACATACATTAGGATTGATTGACGTATTCAATTGTTTTCGGTCACTTCCTGTTTCACCAGAAATTACTACAATTTTTGATTTTTAAATGGCACCCTCGGTATTTTTTTACTTTATTCGATAGAAAATAACACTCTGAATTGAATGACATGTCATATGTCAACTTTTGACATTTATGGATATGGTTTATTTGAAATTACAACTTGCGGTGCGTAACGAAAATTTGACTCGAAATACCAAGTGTGTAGTATCAAATTATTTGTAAAAAAATGATTTTTCCAAATATGCTAATGAGACACCCTCGTTCCATTTGAAAAAATTGAGATATGATTGAAAATACGATTTGAGCATTTTCTAACTGGCCAGGAGAAGACACTAAAAACATTAGACGATCAAATCTATTTTTCCAAGGGTCCTTGATTAAGAATTAGTGTTTTTAATCTAGCCATAGCACTCTAGATTGAATTTTAAAATACGATTTTTTATTAAGCGAGAATGTCAAAAGTTGACATATGATAAATGTCATTCTATTCAGAATGTCATTTTCTATCGAATAAGGTAAAAAAATACCAAGGGTGCCGTTTAAAAATCACAAGTTGTAGTCATTTCCTGTGAAACAGGAAGTGACCAAAAACAATTGAATACGTCAATCAATCCTAATTTATGTCATATACTAACATACCAATTCTCGTTTTTTATCTGAAAAAATAAAGAAGTTATAGGGGGTGGGCCACTTTTGAGACGCACCCGGTATATTCTGAAATTTTACTTAAAAAAAATCTCTAATATGGTATAAATCTTTTTTTTTAATATTTGGTTACCTTTAGAAAGTTTTGGTTGAAGTAACACACTAGTTTATACTAAAAATAACATTCTTAAAGAAGATTTTTGGATTATAAAACTTCTTTAAGACGTTTAGTGTGTTTACTCACCCTTTGATGGATCTACATGGAAATGAATATTCTGTGCAGATTGGTCGTGCTTCTTTTGAGCGACCACAGCTCCTACTTTTGCTGCAGCTGATGCTACATTAATTATCAGAAGCAGTATTAATAATCCTACTGTCTTCAATGAAAACAGCAGAAGAAATCCTAAAAATTTAATTAGCATTATATCTTATTACAACTTTTGGACTTATATGTACCTAGTTTTGTAATAGCTATACCTCCTCCGACCATTAACATAGGCATTATTTGTTTGAGTCTCTTTGCCATACCTATACATCGTCCTAAAATAAAGAAAAAAAAATAAGTTAAAAGTTTTCTAAATTTTATTTGATCACGCTTTGATATAATACCTATAAAGCCTCCATTTTTTTCCTGTTCTGCTTGGATACCCTCTCCACCATTCCAAATGTACATGATCCTCTCGCCCAAGTACTGCAATGGCCCCATTTTGTTGATTTCTTCCAGATTGATGATGACGGCATCATCTCTAAATCCAGTTTCGGTAACATTTGTAGCTTCAGTTTGATTTACACTAATTTCTGTGGCGTTTGTCGTAGACGTTTCTATTGCATCAGACCCCGTTACCAATGATAGAGAGAAGATTATGATGGGTAAATAGATCTTTCTCATGTTGCAAACATTGTCAATGTAAGGAATGGTTCTATCTGAAATGGACATAGAATATTTTATTTACTTAATTATCTTTGAAATGATGATGATTTATGATTTTTATTATACATGGTGGTTCGAACCATATTACAGAAACTTCGGCAGCATATTCTGCAGATAAAAATAAGTAAAAAAGTTCATATAAATGCACGGGTGGATGGAGAAGTGGAAACCGGCCCGGGAATAACAGGCAACCGGCCCGAATCCACAAAAATAAAATGACCGTAACGAAGAAACATATTTTATTTAATATACAGGGTGTCCCAGAAATAAGTGCAAGTATTTTAACTGGTAGTATATTTCGGCCTCAGAAACACGCCTATCAGTTTTTTTGCGAAAATTTGGAATTTTTTGAAGAAATTTTTGGAATTTTTTTAGTTTTAAGTTAAGAAAACATAATTTCTTGATAATCTGACAACTGACAATAGGTAGTAGATTAAATTTACATGAAAGAAAATACAGAAAAGATCCAGTGGTTCTCAAAATTTTAGCAAAAAAGCATTTTTTGTTTAAATTTTCAAAGTAAAATTTTGGTTAAAAAGGTTATTTTGGGCTTACTTGAAAAACGGTAAAGAGAAAAAATGTTTATTTTGACCAAATCTACCCCCCTTAAAATACTTGCAATTATTTCTGGGACACCCTAGATAAGGGTCAAATCACCCCAAGTGAGGGTGATTTTCGCTCGGGCGAAAAAAACTCTTTTGCCTGATCCAAGTTTTTATAAAGATCAATATCGGGTCGGACATCTGAATTCTTACTAGAAAATAGCTCAGTTTCACAGGGTTCTACTGTTTTATTTCCATTATCGATAACATTTGATCTTGAATATGCTACGATTTTGAATCACGGTTTTGAGAAACTTTAAGACTTCCTGATTCATTCAGCTCATCAGCTGGCCCAATCCTCTATGAAATACATTATTTTTAGATTTTCAGGTATATACTTTCTTACAGATTGTAGAAAGAAAGTCTCTCTTTTCTGGTACAGCAGCAGCCTCGTCATGTATACGTGTCTTAATTTTGGTATAATTCTCATTACGTAACTTTTCCTAGTTTCTACATTTGGCATCTTGTATGATAATGCCATGACTCAAACGAAAAAAACCTAGGCAATACCTAAGCAGTGGATATAAATGTGTTTTAATAAAAGAATATTGGTAAAACTATACAGAATTAGTCTTAAATAAGGGCAAATATTTTCAGGTGTGGTATATTATGCCACCACCAGGTGCCAGGACACGTCTATGAGTTTTTTTTGTAAAATAAGATGTTGAAAATAGTGCTTTTTCTTTTAAATTTTCCTGTATATTTTAGAAATTTTTTTAGAACTTCCTGTTCACTGTAAATTTTCCCACGGTATAGTTTCTTAATCTTTGATATTACGGCACAAAAAGTGATGCAAATACAGAAAGATTTAGGCGGCAATTTTTTTTTTTAAAAATCATTTTTTTTTTTAAATTCAAACTTTAATAACTCGGTTATTTTGGACTTATTTGAAACACGGCAAAGAGAATATTGTATGTTTTTTTGTTCATATCTACCAGCCCTGAAAATATTTGCACAAAGCAAACAAAAAAAAACATTTCAAATGGAACAACAAACAAAATTATTAGATGTTTATTAAAATTATAAGTGTTTCAGAGGAAAACATCTAACAATACCTAGTTATTTTAAAAATTGATGTTTATATTTAAAAGCAACTAACCATTATATTGATGCAAACTGATTAGTTAGTTAGGCAGTCACTAGAATCTTACGTAATTTTAGTTAGAAGATTAACCATTTAATTTTAACTAAATCAATCTTTTTTTGAGTTCTGATCGGGACCGGCCCACCGGGAATTTTCCCGTTTTCCCATATGGCCCATCCACCCCTGTACATTTCTCATGTAATAAACACCCCAACAACAATTTTTATCCAAATATTCACGTTACTGCAGAAATTATTTGGAAAAAATCGAAATAAGAATAAAATTTCTATACCCTGTATCTCCGAAACTAAGCATTTTAGGATATACATTTATACAGGGGTGGATGGGCCATATGGGAAAACGGGAAAATTCCCGGTGAGCCGGTGGAAAGATGGGCCGGTGGGCCGGTCCCGATCAGAACTCAAAAAAAGATTGATTTAGTTAAAATTAATTTTTTCCAAATAATTTCTGCAGTAACGTGAATATTTGGATAAAAATTGTTGTTGGGGTGTTTATTACATGAGAAATGTACAGGGGTGGATGGGCCATATGGGAAAACGGGAAAATTCCCGGTGGGCAGGTGGGCCGGTCCCGATCAGAACTCAAAAAAAGATTGATTTAGTTAAAATTAAATGGTTAATCTTCTAACTAAAATTACGTAAGATTCTAGTGACTGCCTAACTAACTAATCAGTTTGCATCAATATAATGGTTAGTTGCTTTTAAACATAAACATCAATTTTTAAAATAACTAGGTATTGTTAGATGTTTTCCTCTGAGACACTTATAATTTTAATAAACATCTAATAATTTTGTTTGTTGTTCCATTTGAAATGTTTTTTTTTGTTTGCTTTGTGCAAATATTTTCAGGGCTGGTAGATATGAACAAAAAAACATACTATATTCTCTTTACCGTGTTTCAAATAAGTCCAAAATAACCGAGTTATTAAAGTTTGAATTTAAAAAAAAACTGATTTTTAAAAAAAAAATGCCGCCTAAATCTTTCTGTATTTGCATCACTTTTTGTGCCGTAATATCAAAGATTAAGAAACTATACCGTGGCAAAATTTGCAGTGAACAGGAAGTTCTAAAAAAATTTCTAAAATATACAGGAAAATTTAAAAGAAAAAGCACGATTTTCAACATCTTTTTTTACAAAAAAAACTCATAGACGTGTCCTGGCACCTGGTGGTGGCATAATACACCACCCCTGAAAATATTTGCGCTTATTTAAGACTCATTCTGTATAGTTTTACCAATATTCTTTTATTAAAACACATTTATATCCACTGCTTAGGTATTGCCTAGGTTTTTTTCGTTTGAGTCATGGCATTATCATACAAGATGCCAAATGTAGAAACTAGGAAAAGTTACGTGATGAGAATTATACCAAAATTAAGACACGTATACATGACGAGGCTGCTGCTGTACCAGAAAAGAGAGACTTTGTTTCTACAATCTGTAAGAAAGTATATACCTAAAAATCTAAAAATAATGTATTTCATAGAGGATTGGGCCAGCTGATGAACTGAATGAATCAGGAAGTCTTAAATTTAAACAAAAAATGCTTTTTTGCTAAAATTTTGAGAACCACTGGATCTTTTCTGTATTTTCTTTCATGTAAATTTAATCTACTACCTATTGTCAGTTGTCAGATTATCAAGAAATTATGTTTTCTTAACTTAAAACTAAAAAAATTCCAAAAATTTCTTCAAAAAATTCCAAATTTTCGCAAAAAAAACTGATAGGCGTGTTTCTGAGGCCGAAATATACTACCAGTTAAAATACTTGCACTTATTTCTGGGACACCCTGTATATTAATAAATAAAATATGTTTCTTCGTTACGGTCATTTTGTTTTTGTGGATTCGGGCCGGTTTCCTGTTATTCCCGGGCCGGTTTCCACTTCTCCATCCACCCCTGGAAATGTGATGTTGATGTCAATATGGCTCCTACATGTAGGGGGCGCTACCTACATGTTTTTAACTGGTTTGAAGAGTAATAACTGTTCGTCCGTACCTGTATAAAACTAGTGAGTAAAAAAATATACATTTACACAATTTTTTTTTACGTAAATAAAGTGTCTTGGTAAAAATCGCTAAGAGTAATGGTTTTCGAGATATTTGGAACCTAAATTATCAATACCTGTCATCAGAGCCTGTCATCATTGACATAACTAGTATTAGTTTTTAGCTTCTTTTTTTTCTGACAAGCAGTCATCAAGCAGTGTCCGTTTAGGTTTAACGCAGAAGTGTTTACAAAAAATAACTATTTTATTTTGTAGATTTTCTTGCAGTTCAGTGGCGAAACACCCATAAATAATTTTTTTTGGAGAGATGAACCCGCCACATAGGTATAGACAGTTTTTATTAGCTTTGTTATTAGACTGAAATTATAAATTTAAAATCTGACAAAAGTTCAACAAAAACTGTTTTATCATCATTTTTCCAAGAAAAATTTATGATTAATTTAAAAAAATAAAAAGTTCCCAAATTTATCATTATTCAGTGAAATAACTATCTACTCAACGTGTTTATTTTTGTCAATAACGACATGTATTGACTATTTCCATTCTAAATATCTTGAGAACGGTTGCTCGTAGACATTTTTTACATAAAAAATCACAGAAATGTATATTTTTTCTCTCAGGAGTTTTATACGGATACGGTTAAAAATCTGTTACTCTTAAAAACAGTTAAGTTAATTCTCACACTAACTAAACACATATAGGTGGCGCCCCCTACAAATAGGAGTCATATTGACATCAAAATCAAATTTCTCATGTAAAAAAACTCTCTCCCAGCCACCAATTTTCACCCAAATATTGACGTTACTTCAGAAATTATTTGGAAAAAAACCGAAATAAAAATAAAACTTCTACACCCTGTATCTCTGAAACTAAGCATTTTAGGACATAAATTTATATGAACTTTTTTATTTATTTTTATCTGTAGAATATGCTGCCGAAGTTTCCGGAATACAGTGCGGACCACCCTGTGAATTCAGAGAGTTTTTAATAATTTTTAGATTAATAACAGTTCAAAAGAAGTATACCGAGTTTATTTTTTTTGGGATTCATAATATTCGTTTTAAACAAATTAGCCTTATATCTGTTTTTAGTCTCAAACCATATCACATATTATTCTCTATTCTTTGCCCATACATTCGTTCATGATGACGTCATGCTTAATTTAATGCTACCTCACGCGAACCAATTATAATAGAGATTGAATAATAATAGGGTTTATATGGTCTATAAGCCAGTCAATTATCAACATAGTCCTAATTATAAATTAAAAAAGGTCTCGT